CCACCACCACAACCACCAAGACCACCACCACCAAGCCCACCACCACAACCACCAAGACCACAACCACCAAGACCACAACCACCAAGACCACCACCACCAAGCCCACCACCACCAAGCCCACCACCACAACCACCAAGACCACCACCACCAAGCCCACCACAACCACCACCTCCGCCTGCAAAACAATTACCGTCTGCGACCCATGGTACACTCCTACAGATTCATGGCAGACCGTGGCCTCTTGAGCATGCTACACAAGACTCGGAACAAGTTGACAAAAAAAAGGGAACACAAAAGCCAAAATGCGGAATTCGAAAAGAGTACGAGCTTTGGGGATTATCACGAGGATTGAACCGAGATTTAGGATTTATTTTTACTTTTTTTCTTGCGTTTTACTTTATGCGACGTCTCCTGTTTCCGTCTGTTATCTTGACTGTTGAGTCTGATATGTGTGACTTTGGTTCCTATCCCGTAATTGCTTCTTTCTACTGGCGATGAACATGTAACCTGTCCTGTAATGCTTGTCGTTGGTTACACCTCGTACTAATAGTCTGATGATTTGTTGAAACGAAATAATGAAAAGTTTGTTTTTCTCCCTACAAAGACAAGTTTGTAAACTCATTGTCGCCATAATTCATTGCTCACGTCACACAGAAACCATGTTTATTCAAGTACATTTGGTGATCTATCACCTAGGAAACATAGATCCCAGGATCATGGTCGTATCCGTACGTTTCGTTTCGCCTTTTGGGAGTAATAGGACCATGCGATATCCAAGATCAGATGCGGAATTTCAGCTAGAAGTAGAAGTTGGATTGATCTGATTCTCCTCCAAATACGATACGCAAACTGACCCAAGGCCAATAGACCATCTCTGCAAGCAAGAGAACACCACTTTCCACCTCCCATATACCCACCTCAATACCCAATCCGAACTTTTACTTGGCGCGTAACAGCCTGATCGAACGATAGAGCTTAAAAGCAAGCTTGACCCCGGTAAGGATAAAGTTCACTCTGTGATGACTGGGAAAAACAAGCTCTAGGCTCAATTAGCTTTGTTTCCCTTGCCCCCCCCCCCCCCAAAAACTGAGTGGGGACCCAGATTCTACCCGGGTCTAGTTCCTCGTAAATGAACTCCTACCTTAGGAGAGGAAGACTTGTAAACTTCTTTAGACTCAATCTCTAGCACTGGAAAGCTGAATATCCGACGCTTGAAGAGCAAATAGGCTTCATCCCGCTGTAGATTAGGGTTTTCGTCTTCCCGTGATAGTGGACAAGCTTGTTTTTGGTAAGCCCCATGCCACACGGGACAACCCGCGGATTCTTCCCGCCCAGAACATGGGTTCTTGTTGTCTCTGCGAACCGTGGGACAGACATCTGTCTCCGCGGGAAGCGGCTGTAAAGGGGATTCTGGCTCGATCGGTCCACAGTCCACGGGCAAGCTATGTACCATGATTTTGACGATTGCACCGTGCACAAGAGTCCGAGGTACTGTACGTAATTGACACTACCAAGATGGTCTTAGCTTCCGCACGCATCCGTTTTCAGAGTGATGAGGTTCACATCTGGCTCAAGAGGGAAGAAGCCCAGTTGGTGTTGGGTCTTCACCCTCCCCCCCACTGTACTCAACCTTTTGGTCAGGTCGCCAACTTCTACTCTAGTATGAAGCCACGATGCACGTTCAGTGAACAGGGAAGTAACATCGAAGCATAGGCTCTTGGCCTTGTTCAAACGTATGCTTGTGCGCAGAAGATACTGGACCTCCACCGTAGTTTGATCCCCGCCCCCACCCCCGGCCCCCTCAACTTATCAAACACCAAATATAAGATGAGCTAAATTCAAATGAAATGAGATACAAGATAATTGAGGTGATAACAGATAGTGACGAGTGCCTGGCCTCCCACTGGCTGGGCAGCTCACCGCCTTCGGCCGTGTGTGTAGTTAGTTCTTCCCAGATAGCCTGGAATCCACGTTCTTCACGCTTCCCATCAGATAAAATATAATAGAACCAAGTGAAATTATACTATCGCAAGTTCTCCGAGCCTGTGAGCAGCCGTTCAGCATGCTTGACATTCTCCAGACTAGTGTTCCTCGCCGCCGACACCGAGCATTCCAACACATGCTTGCCGGCCGCGGACCACCGCGATTTTCGGGGAACGTCTGGCTCTGCATCTCGATCCCGGGTCCGTAGGTCCGGCATCCCCGTCCGCATCACCGGGAGGCGATCGATGAGCGCCCGCACCCCCTGGAGATGCACTACTTGCATGGTCCGGTCCGCCACACTCAGTGACACCGCCATCAGATCGTGTCCCGGCCGTTGATCCCACCGCACGATCGCATACGGGATGACGATATGCGGCCCGCTGCACGGGTGGGTCTGCGCTGATTGATTGAGCACGGCCGGCCCGAGCTCCAGGGCATCGCTTGAGTAGAGGATGTAGAACTCCGCCGGGGCCGGGCTGGCCAGGATCATCAGCTCCGGCCGGTAGGTGGCGCCCTCGCTGCACCCGCCGTCGAGATGCGTGCGGGGGAGGCCAGCCCAGAGCCGCAGCAATGGCTCTGAGGAAGAGGTGGTGGTCTGGACGGGGACGAAATTCGTGCCTCCGCGCATGTCCCCGTCCACGTGGGGGCCGTCGGGCACCAGCTGGGTGGACGCCTCCTCGGTGTAGTCCCAGTCGCAGCGGCCGTCGCGGAGATCGCATCGCAGCACGCGCAAGGGGTGGAAGCCGTAGACGAGATGTAGATGGTGGCTCGGACGAGGCACGGACGCGGGGTCGTCACCCTCGCCCCGAGAGGGGTCGAAAAAGGGTGACCAGTTCTTTTCCACCAAATGCGGCTCCTCGTGGGCGATGGTCAACGAGGTGGTGAACCGCGAGAAAGGCCGGTGGATGTACATGCGGCGGCGGAGGTTCAAGCCCTCGATCATGTTGAAGACGATCACGGGCTCCGCGTCGGGGACGTTCTCCTCGAGCAGGATTCGCGGGTCTTCCGCGCCCCAGAAGATCTGCCCCGACGGCGGCCACGATATGGGCACGTCGAAGATGCGTGGGAAGGCGATCGCTTCGCCCTGCCAGTCAATGGTATGGCCGTCCAACGGCTGCCACGCCGAATCGTAGAGACGCCCGCGAAGCCAACTGATTGTAGGCTGGGCCAGGTTGCCCGAGGGATAATAGCTGACTCGGTTCACCAGCAGGTACACCTGATAGCGAGCCATCCAGACGGCGGAGCCCGAGAGCTCCACCCAATTCTTGTCCACCCAGTTCTCGAAGGAGAGGCTCTGCTGCTCGAACTCGTACCGGATCTCGGGGTAGTGCTGTAAAGACCGCACCGTCCGTGTGAGATTATCGTGCAGACCAAGGCTGGAATGTACGAGTAGGGTGGAATTGAGCGCTCGATCGCCACAGTCAACGTTCGCGCCGATCAAGCCATCGTTCTGGTAGCCAAGAAGGGTGAGCTCTTCCAAGGGGGTCGCCTCGTTCACGAACCGCTCCAGGGACGTCAACAGCAGTAGTGCGATTATTATACTGACGATGCCTGTGGCTCCTTTTCGGAGATTGCGCCTATTCAACCTCATGGTGCCAGATCTATCGCAACCAGTTGTTCAACAGGCTGGTCAACGGGTTGTAGAGCGACGGTCAAACAAACGAAAAATAAAAGTAGGAACGGCGTTTCGACAAATTCTCAGTCGCTAAGCGGCCGCGCAGGCAAGGAGAATGCTTAGGGCCACAAGTCAGCAGACTGAGGTCCAGACCGGCATGGTCAATGTGTCATCGTTATCAACATTTCGAGACTTGTTGGGCTTTTTCTTTGTTCTCCAGGTAGCTTCCGAGGCTCAGTACCATAGATCCCTTTGGCTGATCCGAGAACCATGCACGCGCCGTTCGGCACGGCGAGTTCGGGCCAACTTGAAGCTTATTCGGATTACCTTCACGGGAAGACTAAAAGTTTATCGGGGGTGTTCCAGGGAACCTCGAGACCTCTGTCTAAAATCTAGACCAGACGAAGAGTCCTTGAATCCGAGTCACAGGACACGACAGAACTATAGTGTGAAGTTCATGGCAGCCAAAAACCAGCCCCCCATGGATCAATCGTACCGCCAGCCCAGGCATAAAGGCTCCATTTGGGTCTGGCTCCGTTCATCGTAATTGTAGACCCCAGGAGGCAGCAGTCACGGTACCCTAGGCGGGGAACATCTCAGTGAAACGGGCGATCACGCCAATCAAGCTAGCACAGGAGAGCATCTGCCGGTAGAGGAAGGTGGACGCTCGACAAGCCGAATCACGAGTGATGATGCGTCACCCATACTTGGTAGAGCCCGGAACAGCGGATACCACTCGGCGCGTAGATGAGGCCCAGGGCCGAAGTGGTTCCCAGCACACGAGCCAAGCTGACTACTACTGGCGGGAGCAGGAGAAATCTTCTCTGAGCTGGGAGCTCATCAGGGACACCGAGTACGCTTCCACCATAGAAGTGTCTCGACGATTTATCTAGTCGAAGGTGAAGAGAAGGAAGTTCCTTGGTTGTGTAGTACATCTCAGGGCATTGAATTTGGCACGATGTTATCTAGCACCCCCAAAATACAATCCCAGACGTCGGCTCTACGCGATTTGCCTTTCCTTACATTTTCCGTTTATGTATAGATGTAGATGTATCCATATCTTGCCATAAGTCTTAGAGCAACTGCTCGGTCACAGTCTCCCAAACCTTCTCATCCGGGTCCAAAGGCTTAAAGATTGCCGCCATCTCCAACAACAACCGGTAAACGTAGACTGACATATCGATATCGCGCAGAACCCGGCGCGACCAGGCAGACCCGGCCTCTGCAATCTCCGCGGAAATACGCTCGCCGTCGGGGTCATTGATGAGGAAGTCCACCACGGAGGGCAGCTCCTCCATGCCCATCGTAACGGGGATATAGTGCGCCCAGGGGAGCAGACGTTCGTCGTGCCACTCCTGGAACCAGGTCTGCTTCAGCACGACGGCGCGCTGCGAGAGGAGGTGGTAGAAGCGGCCGCTCATGCCGTTCCCGTCCAGGTCGTAGAGGTAGCGAAACTGCCGCTCGGCATCCTGGCCCTCGAAGTGCGCATGGCCCAGCACCCGCTCCATCTCGTCGCAGACCTCTTCGTCGCACTGGATGAAACCCCCCATCTGCACGTCGAACGCAATCCGCAGGGCGCCGCGAGTGGTGGTGGTGGTGGTGGTGGTGCGCTCGCCCCACCCCCGGATGGAGGGGCCGAAGAAGAACCGACTCACATCGAATACCTCCGCCGCCCGCTGCAGCGCGTGCACGAACCCGACAAACCGCTGTCGGTGGCCGTACCGCCACGTCGTGCGTAGCGCGTGGCCGCCGGTCGACCGGCCCCGCCAGTAAACCACCTTCAACTTGTCGTGGAAGGGAATCGAATCCTCCGTTTCCGTCTTCTTCTCGTCTTGCGCCACCGGGTTGTTCACGTAGAAGGGGCACGGAACCAAGATGTCGTGGAAGGGCGCCATGCGCGCGTAACTCAGGATCGGAGCGCGCGCGTGGGTGTAGATGAAGTTGCCCGGAGAGGCGACGAAGCCGTGCAGCTTCCCCGGCTCCGGGGACAGGCAGACATTGTGTTCCATGTTCACGTGGCGGTGCTCTACTTGCGTGCAGGATTCCTGGATCAACCCCTCGATGGATCGATCTCGATGGTCGACGAAGGTCACACTCTCCTCAAGAGATCCCCCCGCCGCTTTTGCGAGCACACGGGGCTCGTCAATGCTGTTCATGTAGACCAAGAGATTGCGAGGCAAGGCATGCGCGAAGGGGGCGAGAAGCTTCGTCCATTCGCCGCTGTATAGAAGTTCCCCTGAGACATTGACATGACCCCCGTCGACAAAGACCACCCGTCGGGTGTGTGGCCAATCTTCCTGGGGCTGGTTGTGTTTGTTGTCGTTAAGCTGTTGAAAGACGCGCTGGGCCTCGTCGGTTCGGTAGGGGCGGAGGTCGATCTCAATCTGATCGAAATCGTCAATCACCTGCGAGTCGTGGTCTATGGCAAACTGCACCCACTCCCGAAACCCCGGGGGTGGGGCTCGACGGTAGCGTCTCTCGTACTCGGCGATGGCGGCCTCGGGCGTGCGCGATTGAGCCTCGAGAAAATGCGCCATGCGCGACTGTGCGGCTTCAATCCTGCATCGGATGGCAGCAGCGGATAGACCTTTGCCGGCCTGAGCGGGCGTGCAAGCCGATTCGGTCGTCTTAAGAGCCTCCTCGTGGTTGCTGAAGCGACCCCAAATCCCCCCATAGTGCGATTGGAAGTAGAGCTGGGACGCAATGAGTATAATGAAAATGGTGGCTGAGATAACAAATGTAGCCTGACAGCTTCGTATCCAGAGTCTGAATCGAAGCAGTGACATTGCGACTTTTGCGTGTACGGCCGCCTCAGCTAATGGCAATGTATTGAAGGAAAATTATGAAAATGTGGGCATTGGCTTTGTCGATATAGATATATGGCGTTCTCGCTTTAAGGCCAACAGAAAAGAAAAAGGATTACGACTTACCAAAAATAAAGAGAGAGAAGATGATAGACAGAATGGCTACCTGTGCAACCAACAAAAAGTAACATGGTGAAATTCTTCCGTTCAAAGAACTTAGAGAAGAAGATATGCGCGTCATTGGGGTTTATGGAACCATGGTGACCGTATACGAAAATGTAGTTCGGTAGTAACCAAGTTACATTTTTGCCAACCAGGGGTCGAGGCGGGAGAGTGAGAGATGGTCCGGCGATCGGCCTAGATCTACCGTTCCGTTTCTTTGATGCCTCAGGCTGAAAGGGTTTCTCGAATCCATAAGCTGTGGCTTAATCATTTACGCCATCATTTGCTTTTTTTGGCACACTGCAACGGGCGACACTGAGCAGCCATAGATACTATACCAATAATATGTTGGAACTTATGGAATGTTCGGGCTTTCTCCCAACTGACCAACTGGATAAGTCTAATCCCTGTCAATCTGCAGTCAGCATGGACAATTCGGCCCAAGGGGCACTCTGCGTCCTTTACGGATCTATTCTCCGATTAAATCGGTATTGTACCTACTGTATGTACAATGCGCAGCCAAGACTACTCGACGAGTGCAGTGCTGGTCAGCGGTTGAGCTGGATGCCGCTTGATGTGGTTACGCCCTCTCTACATACCGTCGCAACGTTCCCCAGCCCTTCCAGCACCCTACCCCAGGCTCCTTCAGCCAAGTCGACGTATCCATCCCTTGTACGCAGGTATAATCTTGATCTCGCTTATTGTCAAGACCAAATCCACTCATTCTCATTATAGACCAAGTCCGCCCGCTGCACTTCCCGGACAATGGCCGATACGCCATCGGATGAGGACGTAAGTTAATTCGTAGTCAGGATAAGAGAGACACGTCAAGCATCGAAGACATAATCACCTAGAGGAGGGAATTTTATCATCATAATGAACACTCCTGAGCAGAGAGCAACCAACGCTAAATCAACATAAAAGGTAGCAACTGAAAAATCACGCCTCCATTTCAAGACCTTCCTCTTCCGCCTTCTTCTCCTTCTTCACACTCCTCCACCCGACCCCCCACGCGAACACAAACTGCGCCACCGACAGCGCCGTCGTCAAATAGAATACCTGATCCACGCTCTTCGCGAACGCGCGCACCACCGCCGGCAAGTCTTCCGACGACACCACCGACCGGAACCCCGTCGCGCCCGCCTGGATGACCCCCGCCGCGTCGACGCCCGCCGCATACCGCGGGATCTCCGTGCGCAGCGCCTGCGCAAAGATCACCTCCGCCACCGCCAGGAAGATCGCCCCGCCGAAGGTCTGCGCGCAGGTCATCATCGCCATCGCCGTGGAGACGTCGTCGCCTTGCACTGCGTTTTGGATGGCGATCATCGGCTTGATTTGGGGTTAGCTTGGCTGGAATGAGTGTGGTTTGGGGAGAGGAGGAAGGACTCACAACTTGTGAGATTGCGCCGCGCCCAAACCCCACCAGTGCCTGGTACCCTGCCCACTTGGGGACGGAGGTGTGCGGGCCCAGGGTCGAGAGGAAGCCGTTACCCACGGAGTCGAGGATGGCGCCCAGCACGCCCCAGGGGAGGTAGTAGCCCAGTTTCGAAGCTGGAATCCATCGTTAGCTTTGCTGCGTCTTGTTTCCGTCCGCAGAAGGAGTGGATGATGAAAAGACTACAGGGGAGGAACGTACTCAGAACCCCCGACACAACCGCCATTATCAACTGACACAGGATATTCGGCAGCAGGTTCACCCCGCTCACCAGCGCCGACTTGCCCCGCACCGACTGGAAGTAGATGGGCAGGTAGTACGAGAGCGTCATCGTGAACCCGAAGATCACCATCGACAGCAGGCTGCTGCACAGCACGATCTGGTCGCACACCAGGTGGCCGGGGATCATCGCCTCGGCGCCCATGCGCCGCTCCCACAGCGCAAACACTGCGAACGTCGCCGCCGACCCAACGAACAGCCCGATCACCGTCGCGCTGTCCCACGCGTAGCTGTTGCCGCCGTACTGTAGGGCGAGCAGCAGCATGATTGACGCCGGCGCGAAGAGCACGAACCCCACCAGGTCGAATTTCTGGAGGAAGAGCGACTGCAGCACTTCCCGCGCCGGGGGTTTGGGCTTCTGGTCTGGGATCCGGGTGAAGAGGAGGAGGGCGCCCACTAACGCGCCGATGGGCAGGTTCATGTAGAAGCCTATTTCGGAGGGAGTGTCAGTGTATGCTGTGGTTTGCGATGAAAGAATGGATAATCCGAACTTACACCACCGCCAGGTCGAGTAGGTCGTAAACGCACCACCGACTAACGGCCCGCCTACGAGGCCGAGCTGTCCCACTGCGAGTCACCATTAGTCAATTACTCTTTTCTTCCTGCAAGCATCAAAACGAAGGGGAACAGGGATACACACCTCCCATAATCACCCCAATCATCGCCGGCCGCTTCTTGTTTGGCACCGCCCCGGCCAGGATGTTCAGCGCCCCGTTCAGCATCCCCGACGACCCCATCCCGGCCACCGCGCGCCCGATGATCAGCATCTTGGACGAGGTGGCCACCCCGCAGATCAGGGAGCCCAGCTCGAACAGCCCGAAGAAGGAGAGGAAGGTCCATTTCGAGGAGAAGTAGGTGTAGAATTTACCGGTGAGGGGTTGGAGGGCGGCGCTGTCTCGTGTCGCGGTCGTTAGCTAGATAACATAGGGTAGGGTTATTCGAAGGGCATCGAGGGGATTTCCTACCTGGAGATCGTATACGCGCTACCGTACCAGGCCACATCCTCGAGGGAATTGAACTGACTCGTAATTTTGGGGATCGCCTATTTCCCACCAAAACCATAAGGTCAGTATTTTCGCTTTCCGTTTTGAGTGCATCTTCCTCGTGGTGCAAGTAGGGGGGTAATTGGGAATGGCCCACCGTCGACACAATCGACACATCCAACAACATCAGAAACACGACCAGCGTGATTCCTGCGATCACCATCACCAGCGTCAACCCGTGCACCCATTCCGGCTCGTACTCGTCTTTCGGGTGGATGGGTTTCTTCTCGTCGTGATGCTCCGGCTCCGGTTCCCACGGGGTGGGGTTGGAGCCCAGCAGATGGGGCTTGCTGCTGGTGCTGGTGCTGTCTTGGCTCATCGTGGCGGCGTGAAGGCTTTTCGGCGAACGGGGTTTCTCAAGTGATTGCGCCATGTTGGCTCTGTATGCTAGAGGAGTATTGAGATGGCACCTAAATAATGTCAGCGGAATGAAGGTAGATGGGAGGGCTTGTTTTAAGTATCGGGGCCGGAGACGGTGTTGGTAGTTCCCGTCTCCGGACGCCGGTTTGTTTTTGTGGGGGGGGGGATGATGGCTGCGCTGGCGCTGTCGAACGCCGGTTCTCCCGCTGCGAATTCCGGTCCTTACTAGTAGTGGTCAACGCCGTATCCCTTGTTTGCTGCTACCGGTCGGAGATCTCCCCATTTGGGAATTTACCGAGCAAAATAATATAGTATCAATGTTGTCTAATTACAAATTGACTCGACAAAGTTCCAGCGATAGGATGGCTGTACTTCGTAGGCTGTGCTTTGTGGGAAGAATGGAACAGGACGAACGGCCCCAGTGTCTTCGTCCGGCGTGGCTTACAACGAGGTAAAGTGGCACAAATTACTACTGTTATAGTTTTGCTTTCAATTATTGTCTACCCTGGTATGCAGTGAGGACTCTTGAAATATCCTTAGAAAGCCACAAAGATATCATACAGTGAAATTGTTGTAAACATGAACGCGTGCTTCGGAGATGTAAGCGGCGCAAGATATAAATTCAGCTGTCTCGGGTATCTGAAGCTCTCTACACCACCGACTTATCCTACAAATATACATGAACAAGAGGGACATAGACAAAGACGTCATAGCTCGATACACCAAATGTATATCCACTACGACCAAGAAGAAAACCCGCCCGCCCCGTTCCCCTCGGTCAACCACGCCATCTCCGACCAGCTCAGGAAACTATCCAGATCGCCCATCTCCATGCTCGACGCAAACCCCTCCCCGCCCCCACCACCGCGATCGACCACCACCCCGGGACACTCGGGCAGCCGCACCGCCCACTCGCTCCGCAGCTTCTGCATCATCATCCCCAGCTTACTGAACGGATCGCCGAGCGCCCCATCGCTGTGCATCCCGACCGCCGCGGCCACCTGGCTCATGCGCGTGGCGATCTGTTCCGCGACCACTAACAGGTCCACCGTGCCTTTCACCGCCGCCTTGTCCCAGCCCGGGTAGTCCAAGGTCGAGAGTCGGAAGAGGGTCACCAAGCAGTGCGACACCTGGGTGAGATAGGGCAGCGCCAGGGAGGTGTATTCCGCCGGAGCGATGGTGAAAAAGAGGTCGAAGAACTGCTTGACCACGTGCAGGCAGGCGTACAGGTGGCCGAGTCGCTGGCTGCTCATCTCCTCGTCGGGCGGGGGCTTGACGAGGGCAACCTCGTAGAGGCTGATTTCGGTGTCGTAGAGATGAAATAGGATGGGTTCTGGGTGCCGGTTAGTCTCTGCTGTGCTGTTTGATAGTGGTTTCCAGGAGGTTGCACGTACTGTTGCCGGTCAGGGGAATGGGCATCTCGACTTTGATCGTCTCCAGCCGTGACTCGAATGCCTTGAGATGGAACGCGGCGAGCGCCTGGGTCGGATGCAGGCCGTACACGCCCTCACTCCAGGGTCCCTGTAGGATCTGGTCTGCGAGGAGTCGCGTGCGCGTGATCTGCACCAGGACGCCGTCACCGGGTGATTCGTCGCTTTGCGCGAGGATGTCGAGACACTCTTTCATGTGCGGGGTCCATCGCAGCGGGTCCATTCGCCCGAGAAACTGCGCGATTCTGTGCTGGTCAGTCACTCGGCCAGTGTTTCAGTGCGGTGGAACGTACATGGAAGTCAGCACAAAGCAGCTCAAGACTGCGCGGCGTTCGTTCATCGTGCGGCGCGTCGAGATGGACGCTTTCAGCCCCGGCATGTGGCCCACAGCATTGCTGTTAGACACGGTCATGCTCAGGTCCGGCGGCGCAGGCTTGTTGAGCCCCAGCTCGTAGACCAGGCCGATCGCCATCTGGGCATAGATGCATAGCGATGACTTTTGCGGCTGGCTGTGAAACGTGACCCTGCAGTCGATCAGCGATGAACTCACACAGACCCAGGAGGCAAGATATACCAGGCGAGATAGACCAAGACCCCCTGCAGCAAGTCCAGGGACTTATCGCAGTCGACCAACAGGCGTTTGCCCGCCAGCTCGCGGATGGTGACACACAAGGCGGCTTGCCGGGCGGCATGCTTACTCTCCACCGCGGTGATACACCGCCACAGGAATGGCGACTGGTGTTTTAGGTCTTGCGCAGTGGTTGTGGCGGGGATATGGATTAGAGGAAGGAACTGCAGCCGGTGTGTACGGAAGGCATGCAGAGCCTCTTCTTCCTCCGCTGGAGTGTCGACGACGTCTTCTCGTTCGGGGGAGGATGTTTCGGCCTCAGGCTCTGGATGAGTGTCTGCGGGGAGCGGAGTCGGCGTCTGCAGTCCGGTCCGACCGGCGGCACCGGAGGAGGTCAGCAGCATCATCAGCCCATCCATTTTCCGTTCCAGCTGGACCGTCTTGGAAAGAGGGCGCGTCTTGCGACGGCCCTCGGGGATGCGACATTCTTTGTTGAGACGGTGGCATCTGTGGTGTTTGAATCATCTTGTCAATGGTGATTGTTGATACTGATAATGTTAGTGTCAACTGGACGGACTTTTGACCCACCTTTCACAACGGCCGCCCGCACTCCGGGGTACGCATCGACACTTGGCACGAGCACAGGTGGCACACGCATTGCCATAGGGTAGAGGGGAGCGTATGGCGGATTCCATCATGATACGCAGATCTTGCTGGGCTCACATGAAATGGGAAGGGAAAGGGGCAAAGAAAGAGGAGCGGAGGAGGAATAGGAGGGAGAAAGTGGATATGGAGAGGGACCGGACACGGCCTTGGGGCAACCCCGACTGACACGTGACCTCTCCTGCTTATGCCCAACATATTACAGATTAATTTACAGATTAAACTTACAGATTGATTGGAGTCATCTGGTTTATTGGAATCACTGGTCGATAATCCCATGCTATCTCTCTCACCACTCTGCAGGTAGTTTGTTGAATGGCTGGCTGACTCCGGCCACTACATCTGGATACAGTTCTGTACTGTACATCTACTGTACATGCAGCCTCACATAGATTTATGCTTACCATCCAACCTTATCATGCCCTCCCAACACACCTATTGCGTGAAGAGCAGTCCAGTAGCCAAGTCAATCCCTCAACGGACAAGTCAGCCATCTCCGCTCCTTTCTTCAAGATCTCCGACCGTAATAAGTCTACTATTGGTGGTGAGTCCGAAGGATGCGGCCCCCAGCGCTGGGCGACCGGAGTCTAGCCTTGGAGCCTTACAGCCTTAGGGCTGGCTCCAACCCTTTTCTTCTGCTATAGAAAAACATCCCCTGCAGCTCCTGCTCAGTCCCCCTTATCGTGCTACCATCAGCTGAGTTTATCCCCTCGAGAATGTCGGAGACACACGACTCATCTTCTACCGCCTCCAGCCTGGAGAAAGGCCCGCATCCCTCGCACACTGGCGACCCTGGCGACTCGGAAACCAGTCACTCGGCGGAAGATGCCAGCCCGGCTGCCGCGTCGCCCCCTAAGAAGCAGGGAGCCAGGGCCTGGTTGGCACTGACTGGTGGTGTTCTGGGCATGTTCGCCTCCTTTGGCTGGGTCAACTGTGTTGCGGTCTTTCAGGCTGAGTATGAGCTGAACCAGCTGCGTGACTATTCCAGTTCGCAGGTGTCCTGGATCTCCTCGGTGCTCTGTATGTTGGCCTTCAAGTCGCTCAAACGCATCCTCTCTGACAGGCTTCAGTTTTCTTCATGCTCGGGTTCTCCCCCGTGGCCGGCCGACTGTACGACGGCCATGGCCCGCGTCTCCCCATCGTCATCGGCACCTTCCTGCACGTCTTCGGCCTCATGATGGCCAGCCTGTCCACCAAATACTACCAGTTCATCCTCAGCCAGTCCGTGTGCTCCGGACTCGGCACCTCGTTGATTATCACCCCATCCATGACCGCCGTAAGTGACCCCGTCCAGCCTCTGCCCCCTGATCCCACCACCACACAACTCATACTTCTTCCAAGCCAATGACCTACTTCCACGACCGCCGCGCCCTGGCCGGAGGATTCGCCATCGCCGGCTCCTCGCTGGGCGGCGTCATCTTCCCCTTCATGGTCAACCACCTGCTCTCGTCGATCGGGTTCGCCTGGACGATGCGCGCCTGCGCATTCCTGATCCTCGGCCTGCTGCTCGTCACCTGCACGCTAATCTCGTCCAACGCCACCCACAGCCCGAAGGAGTTCAAGCTCAGCCACTACCTGCGGCCGTTAAAGGAGGTGAACTTCTTGCTGATGTGCATCGCCAGCTTCTTCATGTACTGTACGTTCTCTCCCCGATACCATCCAAAGATCAGACAACAGATAGAACTGACCCCCCAAAAAGGGGGCATGTTCGTCCCCTACGTGTTCATGGTAATCTCCTCCATCCACTACGGCATGTCCGTGACGATGGGCTACAATCTGATCCCCATCCAAAACGGCGTAAGGTATGTTGCAGCCAGCCCCTTGAACCCCCTTCCCCACCAAACAATAAAACTAATCCACATGGGAAAGTTTCTTCGGCCGCACCGTCCCCCAGATCTGGGCGCGCAAGTATGGCCAATTCAACGTCTTCATCCTGGCGATGGTCGCCTCGATCGTGGTGGTGCTCGCCTCGTGGCTCCCCTCGCGCGGCAACGCCGCCATCATTGTTTTCACCATCCTGTTCGGGTTTGTGTCGGGCACCACCATCGGCCTGGGCCCCATGCTCGTCATGGCGCTGTCCCCGCCCACGGAGATCGGATACCGGGTGGGCACGGTGTTTGCGGTGGCCGGGTTGGGGGCGCTGACGAGTCCCCCGATCGCGGGCGTGTTGATCACCCGGAATGGCGGGGATTATGTGTACGCGGCGGTGTTTAGTGGGGTGGCGTACGCGGTGTCGACAGTGGTGATGGTTATTCTGAGGGTGAGGATTGGGGGGTGGGGGTTCTTGTCGAAGGTTTAGTTGAGGGGTTATTTTGGTGATTTTTTGGGGGGGTTTGGTTTGGGGCTTGGGAGATGGGGGAGGAGGGAGAGGTAGAGTTGAGGTTTTGAGGTTTATATCTTCTTACATTCGGACATTTATGTAAACAATTTGGATTATGGTTTATCTCACATAATCAGTTGATAGAAAATGAAAGTGTTAGATGCAGTTGCCCTCTTGGCGAGCTCGTGTCTTTGACATGAATATTACAACAAACTACAGAATTCAGGCGACAGATGAAAAGCGAAAATGTTCAACACTGCCGTCACATATACATTTAACTATTATATTTCTTTCTTTGTATATTATTTTATCATATTATAGTAGCAACTTCCACTAACACATGAATAATACATGAATCAATATCCCCTACTCACCCGTCCCAAACTACAAATTGGACACAAGTTAGACCAGAACAGATACCATTCCCTACCAACCTACCAAACAACAACCAAAAGAAAAAACGAATATCCCTCATGACAAACCAACCAAAAACCAAGATAACTAAGCACACCCCCAAATAGGATACACCAACTTAAACCCCGAGGCCTGACCCCTCCGCACCGCATCAATGCCGCCAATCACTCCGCGCAACCCGCCGGACTCCTCCTGCACGGGGTGCGTGACCAGCCCTCCCTTCGCCAGAACCGCCTCCATCTCCGCGTACCACCGCTCCGCTGCGGCGCGGTCCGCCGGCCTTGCAAGAAGATTGTACGGCGCCTCCCAGCCGACGATCTCGCGCCCGAACTGCGTGAACAGGAACACCCACTCCGGGCGCACGCTGCGGCGCGTGTGCCGGTTCAGCGGGAACGGGTCCAGCGAGACGTACTTGCCGCCCGCCCGGCCGATCGCCTCGTAGCAGATCTGCATCGACTTCGTCGTGCTGATGCAGTCCAGCGCGAAGGCCAGCGTGTTGGCCGTGTGGTCGCGCAGGTCCGAGCCGCAGGTCGGCGACCGGTAGTCGAAGGTCGCGGCCGCGCCGAGTTGCTGCAGCCGCGTGAAGTTGTGCGGGGAGCTGGTGGTTAGTGGGGTGAAGCCGAATCTTTTGGGATTTGAGCAGATGTTAGCTAAGCTGGGATGCTTTCTTTCTTTTGTTTATTTTTCATTTTGTCTGCTTTGAGATGTAGGGGCTGGCTTACCGGCGCAGCACTTGGATGGCCAGCGTTCCTGTCGCGGTACCTCCGCCATACACTAGGACATACGTCGGAGTCTTTCTTGAAGCAATACTCTCCGACTCTGACTCGCTCGCGCCCACGAGCGGCAGGCCGAGGGTCTGGTACAGCGCCAATCCGGTGGTCGCCAGCCCGCAGCCCAGCGTCGCCGCCTGCTGGAAGCTCATCGAGTCCGGGATGCAGAGCACCAGCGCCGCGGGCACCGCCACGTACTCGGCGAAGGCGCCGTTGTCGCGCTGGCCCGCGTTGTTGCCGAACACGCAGCCGCACACGCGCGTGCCCAGGGCTAGGCGCGACGAGAAGAAAGCGGAGGAGGTGACTCCCTCACCGAGGGCCACGATCTCGCCCGCGAAGTCCAGCCCGGCGGTGGCACCGGGGCTGGGCGACATGTCGGCGGATTTGGCGTCGTAGGGGTTCAGTCCGACACAGGCGACCCGCACCAGCACCTCGTCGGCGCCCAGCTGGGGTAGGGGCTGGCTGGTGTGCAGCTCGATGCTGCCGGGACCGGTTATCTTCAGTGCCTGTTGGGTAGTCGGTAATTCGCTCATGGTGATGATGTGAGTGGAGAGGATGTGGGCGGGGCTTGAAGCTATGGCTGTGGCTGTGGCTGTCTTCGCGAGTTGTCGACGCGTGGAGACTAGTGGACTAGATATGTATGAAGTCTGGTCTTGTTTATGACCGGATGGCTATTTGTTGTGATGAAGTTATTTCCAGTTGTCTCTGTCCTTCTGGAATTTCCGATGAGTATAGCGCCGCGGACTGATTGGCGGGCGGGGTCCGGCGGGCGGACGGACTTAGGGCTGACGCCGGAGTTGCTGCTTACTTTTCACTGTCATTGTCCGGAGGATGCATCAGGAGAGGTTTCGGAGACCAATGCAGTAACTGGTAAAGAAAAAGAACACATACGTTATCTACTGACATGATCCAACTTTTCTGATGGTGCCTTCTCCCTGTCTCAAGTGAATCGTTAATTCCTTAGAGCCACATTGACAATCCCAACCCGTGGAACTCCAACATGGCAACCAGCGCTTTCTTGCAGCAATTCCAGACGGACGAAGCCAAGAGCCAGTATGTCAGTGCAGTGGCTGGTTCGGCGCTCGTCTTCGTCAGTGCCTTCGCATTGAACGCCATAAGACGACCGAGAGAATTTACCACCGACGAGGGCAAGCGCATCGCCGAGCTTCCCGCTGACGTGCGCATGTCCAAATTCATTCGCAGGTGAGGATAGCCCGTGAGCGTTTCCTACACTAGGGACTACTGATTGGGCTCACTGACAACTCTCAAGTCGGGAATTGTCCGAACAAGGCGAGGCTCTCGCCGGCACCGAGCCGTATCTCATCCGCAGCGGGCCCTACCGCGAACTGGTGATCAGCCAGCCCGACCAAGTCCACGAGTTCTACCGCAGCGACAGCAAGAGCCACACCAAGCCCCGCAATCTGAACCTGGGCGAGCCCTTTGGCCGCTTTCTGGGCCCCTGTGTCGGCGTGCAGTACGGCGACCATTGGCGGGCGATCCGCAAGCACTTCGACCCGCCCTTCGCCTTCCACCCGGTCGCCCAGCGGATCCCCCGGTTCCAGCGGGAGATCGAGGCGTGGCTGGAGAGCAAGGCCCCCACGGCGACCAGCGAGCTCGACAGCAAGGTCGATTTCCGGTTCTTGGTCTTCAAGCTGCTCTCGCTGCACCTGTATGAAGATGCTTTCGATGATCGAGTACGTTTACCATATTGAATTGAGATAGCGGATCGGGAACTGACAGGATACAACTAGTCCTATTGGACGCTGCTGGAGCTGAACGACCAGCACGACGCCATCATGATGGACATGCTGGTCAGCAAGCACCCGGACTCCAAGCTCTACAACCTGCTGCCCAGCGCCCCGCGCAAGCGATTGCAGGAATTCCATACCCGGTGGCAGGAGTTCAACCGGCTGATCGTCGAGAACGCCCGTGTCGTAAGCACTCTCATTTACCCCCGAAATGTCAGTACTAATCACCACCAGGGTGGCTGGGCGTGTCCCGTTGAGACAATCTACCGCGGCGTGGAGCCAGACAAAGACTTCACCGAAGACGCCGTACGTGCGCCTCCGAAACCCCTCCCAAACTAACTCTATATAATCACTAGACTAAACCCCAGCACAGTTCCTCGCAACCCTGACTGAGATCCTCTTCGCCAACGTCAACATCAGCGCCGAGGTCTTCCGCACCATCTTTACCAACCTGGCCGCCAACCCCCGGATTCAGACGGCACTCCGGCAGGAGATCCGGGAGTGGAAGGCGAAGCCCGATTTCGATCTGTCCAAGTACCTCGCCAAGCAGGATACCCTGCTCAATCGCGTGCTGATGGAGAGCATGCGCATCTCGCCTGCCTTCTGTGGGTGACCACAAGCATTCCTTCTTACTGTCCGAAAAGAAATGGCATTGCTAACCTCGATATGACTGCAGGGTTCTCCATGCCCGAAGCGACGGCGGAGCCCAAGAAGATTGGCGGGTACAACATCCCCGCCGGCACGCCGGTGGTGATCGACACGCGTCGCCTGAACAACGGGGCCGCCACTTGGGGTGTTACTGGTGTGGACCGGTTCGACCCCGATCGGTTTTTGAAGGTGGCCAGCCAGGAGCTGCGCTGTGGCTTCATGCGGTTTGGGACGGGGGCGGCGTCGGGACGGTGCTTGGGGAAGAATGTCGCGGATGCGGTGTTCAAGCTGACAGTGATGGAGGTGCTGGAGCGGTTCCGGCTGGAGAGCGTGACTGAGAGTGCCAAAGAGGGGAGGACGGTGGATGTCCGGTTGGTGGCGTTGAAGTAAGGCGGTTGACGTGTTGCTATATTTGGCTTGTTGCTTCGGGATGTTAGTTGGATGGCTGGGTTGGATTTGATTATGGGTTATGGTTGTCTCTGAAATCTATGGTGTTTGTTCTTGGAACCTGCGAGATTACAGTATTCAGCCTCGTTGTCCGGGTGGTTAGGCTATTGGATACATTGAAGACGGTCTAAAGATAGTATCGTGATTGAGATATAAGGGATACACGGTTTTTTGAATGGAGAGGAACTAAAAGGACTGACTCTGGTATTGTAATGCACATACTCTACTGCACACCTTGTGGATTTTACGAGTACAGCATCTGTTCACACGCGATGAAAAATTCTAAACCACGTTTTTTTCTTCATTCAAAACAAGAACCAACCAGGTAAGGAGTAGCTACATTCAATTTCATCCCGGACAAGACTAGCAGGGATCGGAGTACGCCTGCCTGCCTGCATGCACGCAGCCGGCCTGCACTTCCGGCCTCCGCTCTGCATTTCCCCTTCACGTTCCCCCTAACCCCTACTTGTGCAACGCAACCAACACCCCCGTCTTATTCGACGGCCCAATGCGCATGACCGAGACAAACGGATTCTCATCGCGCGGCTCAATGCGACTGTACACCTGCGCCAACCGGGCCAGGATATACGCCGTCTCCGTCTGGACCATCATCTGGGCCGGACAGCGGCGGGGCCCGCCGCCGAAGGGGACAAACTCCCAGAAATGGGACTGATCGACGAAGCGCTCCGGCTTGAAGGCGTCGACATCCTCCCCAAAGTACAGGGGATCCTTCTGCATGACCGTCTTCGTGACCTGGACGACATCGCCCTTCCGAATCAGGATCGGCGACTTGCCGTCGGGCCCGCCCCCGAGCGGCAGGGTGGTATCGTTGATGCACATGCGCACCTGCGACACGTTGTTGGGGTTGAGCCGGTGCGTCTCGTTGATGCACGCGTTGAGGTACTTCATGCTCCGCAGCGCCTCGAAGGTGAGCGGCGCGTCGCCGTGGGCCAGCACCTCCGCGCGCACTTTCGCCCACGCCTCCGGGTTTCGCGCCAGGTGCCACACCACGTTGCCCGTGAAGATCGAGGTCGTGTCATTGTTGGGCACGAAGAGCAGCGACAGCTGCGATCGGAGTTCCGCCCGCTCCGGGCAGTGCTTCGCCATGTACCAGAGCAGATCCAGCCGCTCGGGGCCCACGTCCTCGCCCGCCGCGATCCGCCGCTCCCGCTCCGCGATGTCCGCGTACACCCGGTCCAGGTGCTCGTCCATGTACGCGTGCACGATCTTGATCGCCCGCAGCCACCATGACCAGTCGATCAGGTTCATCACCTTGTACATCTGTAGTCGTAGTCGGTTGCCCCGCAGCACGTCCAGCATTGCCCAGGTCACTCGTGCTCGCTCCGGGTGTGTCAATGCGTCCATGGGCGCGCCGAAGATGAAGTTGGTGGTCACGTCGAGGAACTGGGTGCGGTGTTAGTTGAATGAACATGAACTAGCGGAGAGGGGAGGGGAAACTCACCCATCGCTGGAGGTAGGGCTGGATGTTGACCGTCTCTCCGTCCGGGGGCAGAATACGCAGGAGATGGTCCGTGTAGGAGCGCAGCCGCTCGGTGTCGGCGTAGACCTCGCGCATGAAGAAAGGCTTGATCAGCGCACGGCTGAAGACCCAGTCCTCGCCGTCGACGACGTTGACGCCGCGGTTGGCGAACGCGGCGCCGGCATTCTTGTAGCGACGGAGGGGGCTGATGGCGAAGTCTTTCCAGTTGATGGCCGTCAGGGACTTGAGGTTCTCGGGCTCGATCGTGTAGATGACCCGCGTGCCCATGAAGGTGATCTGGAAGGTCTTGGGTTGTCCCTTGTGCAGCTCGCTGAGCCAGGGGATGAAGTAGTGGCCCCGCAGCGCCTGCCACTGCGTCCACACCAGATCCACGCCCCAAAACGGCTCCCACTGGAACCGCGAGGGGACGGACTTGCAGCCCCAGGACCGCTGCTTGCGCAGGTCGCTCGCCCGCCGAACAAAGGACCGGAACAGAAGGGCCAGGAAGCCAGAACAGAGGAGCAGAATCGGCAGGCTCTGCACGGGGAGGTTCTGGTACTGCACCAACATGATGGAAAAGTCGTGTTGTTGCTGCTTTTGCACGGTAGAAAATGATCTGAAAATTCTAACCAAGCAAGTTGGCAGTAGCGTTTGATTAATCGGAAGGCCGGATTATTTCATATATCTATCCTATTGTCTGTCAGCCCGAGTTCAAGGGCAAGGCCAGTCCGGCGTTGCTTGGCGGGCAGCTCCGGGGCGGATGGATTCTGACCGGACATCAGCACCGCAACCACCGGACTTTTGAAACTCACCTCCAGACCTAATGGTTCTCCTGTCCATATGCTTCTCCGACTCCACACCGCAGGCTTCAGCCTTGTCCGACGGTCTCATTGGGTGCAGTTTTATTGGATGTACTTCTCCGCGTGGCAGACAGGGGTTCAGTCCGCGTGGATGTCCGCTCCGGCGGGTCTGAGGATGAGGCTGGGGCCGGGGGCTTGAAGATGCCTGTGCATACTATACATCGCAGACATATACATACGCTCTACGATCGCACCACTTGGCATCTCCCCATCATCTGATCATTTGTACAACTCTCCCTCAACTTCAACAGAATTCAGGACGACTTGTCGCGGATAGCAGTGACTCGCTATTCCCACACACTCCCCACTCTTTCAACAACAACCACAACCGAAAATGTCTAACCCCGTTCCTGAACCCATCGCCATCGTTGGCTCCTCCTGTCGCTTTCCCGGCTCAGCCTCCTCCCCCTCCAAACTTTGGGACCTCCTCCGCCAGCCCCGAGACGTGCGGCGAGAGTTGAACGCCCAGAACCTCAACCTCCAGCGCTTCTACCACCCGTCCGGGGACACCCATGGCTCGACCGACGTCAAGGGCCAGGGCTACCTGCTGGCCGAAGACAGTCGGCTCTTCGACCCGGCCTTCTTCGGCATCAGCCCCTTCGAGGCCGACACCATCGACCCGCAACAGCGCATCCTGCTGGAAGCCGTCTACGAGACCTTCGAGAGCGCCGGCTACACGCTCAGCCAGATGCGCGGGTCGCAGACCTCAGTGCACGTCGGTGTGATGACCGACGACTACCACGACATCCAGGTGCGCGACCTCGAGAGCATCCCGCAATACACCAGCACGGGGACCTCGCGGAGTATCCTGGCGAACCGCATCTCGTATGTTTTCGACTTGCACGGGCCCTCGGTCACCGTCGACACTGCCTGCTCCAGCTCGCTGGTAGCCCTGCACCAGGCGGTCCAGAGTCTGCAGCTCGGGGAGGTCAACTGTGCGGTGGTGGGCGGGGTTAACCTGATCTTCGACGCCGTCATGTACGTCGCCGAATCGAAGCTGCACATGCTCTCCCCGGACTCGCAGTCGCGCATGTGGGACAAGACCGCCAACGGCTATGCGCGCGGAGAGGGCGCCGCCGCCATCCTGCTGAAGCCACTCAGCCAGGCTATCCGCGACAATGACCACATCGAGGGCTTGATCCGGGGCAGCGGGATCAACTCCGACGGCCAGAGCCAGGGAATCACTATGCCTACATCGGCAGCCCAGGCGGCCCTCATTCGGAGCACATACGAGCGGGCCGGCCTCGACCCCATCAGGGATCGGTGTCAGTACTTCGAGTGTCACGGCACGGGCACGGCCGCGGGTGACCCCGTCGAGGCGCAAGCGATCAGTGAGGCCCTCCTCGGGGAGGATGCCTCCACAGGCGAGAAAATAGGCGACGAGAATTCACCCCTATATGTCGGCTCAATCAAGACTGTTACTGGTCACCTGGAAGGGTGTGCCGGTCTGGCCGGTGTCCTGAAGGCGCTGGTCTCCATCAAGCATCGCACCATCCCGCCCAACATGCTCTTCAATGAGCTGAACCCCAAGATCGAGCCGTACTACGGTCCTATGCAGATCGCGACCGCGCCCGTTCCCTGGCCCAAGCTCGCTCCGGGGGTGCCTCTTCGCGTGAGCGTCAACAGCTTCGGGTTCGGTGGTACCAACGCCCACGTCATCTTGGATAGCTACGAGACTCCAGAACAGGAACCCATTGAACCCGTCGTTGAAGGTAGTGCGCCACTCGGCCCCATTGTGCTCTCCGCTCACTCCGGCGCCTCACTCTTGGGCAACGCCGAGGGACTCCTACAGTACCTGCAGGAAAACCCGTCGGTAGACTTGTCGGACCTCAGCTACGTGCTGCAGACCCGCCGAACAGCGCACCGGGCGCGGGCTTTCTTTTCCTCGTCCTCACACCAGGGCTTGGTCAGCGGCCTGCAGAAGTTCATCAACGACAACAAGAAAGTGGCGAAGAAGGAGACAATCGGGATCCGCCACCAGGCAATCAACCCCAGCGAGACGCCCGGCATCCTGGGCGTGTTCACTGGTCAAGGCGCCCAGTGGCCCGGCATGGGCCGAATGCTGCTCGATCACTCCCCGCTGTTCCGGGAGGTGCTCGACCGGTGCGATGCCGTGCTCCAGGCGCTGCCCGACCGTCCCGAATGGCTCCTCGTGGACGAGCTGCGCAAGGATGCCGATACCTCCCGCGTCGGCGAAGCTGCCATCTCCCAGCCAGTGTGCACGGCCATCCAGCTCGGTCTCCTGGAAGTGCTGTTCGCCAGCGGGATCGACTTCGACGCCGTGGTCGGCCACTCGTCTGGCGAGATTGCGGCCGTCTACGCCTGTGGCATTATCTCCCTGGACGCGGCGATGCAGATTGCCTTCTACCGCGGCAAATACGCCGGTCTGGCGCATGGAGCGAACGGGGAGCGCGGCGCGATGATGGCCGTGGGGATCAGCTATAGCGAAGCGCAGCGGTTCTGCAGGCAGCCCGAGTACCAGGGCCGAATCAGCGTGGCGGCCAGCAACGGCGTCCAGAGCGTCACCTTGTCCGGGGACAGCGATGCCATCCAGCAGGCCAAGGAGCACTTCGACCGCGAGAACGTGTTCGCCCGCCAGCTGAAGGTCGACACCGCCTACCACTCGCACCACATGCAGCGCTGCGCCGGCCCTTACCTCCAGTCCCTCGAGGCCTGCGACATCCAGGTCCGCCGCCCGCGCGACGGCTGCTTCTGGAACTCTAGCGTCCGCGGCGACACCGAGCTGCTGCGGGGAGACCTCCAGTCCCTCAAGGGACCCTACTGGGTCCAGAACATGGTGCAGACGGTGCTGTTCTCGCAGGCAGTGCGCTCCTCGATCTGGCACGGCGGTCCGTTTGATTTGGCCATCGAAGTCGGCCCGCACCCTGCGCTGAAGGGCCCCACGGAGCAGACCCTGGAGTCCGCTTTCGGCACCGCCCCGTCTTATACCGGTGTTCTCAAGCGTGGCGCGAGCGATGTCGAGGCGCTATCCGACGCAATCGGCTTCATCTGGGCACATTTGGGGCCGCAGTTTGTCAGCTTCGCGGGTCTCCGACGCGCCTTGGTGCCGGAAGGCAGTCGCCGCGCTCCCAGGCTCTTGAAGGACCTCCCGTCGTACTCCTGGGACCACGACCGGGTCTATTGGCGGGAGTCTCGCATCTCGGCGCGATTCCGCAAGGGTAATGATGTGTTCCATGAGCTGCTGGGCCGCCGCACGCCCGACGACACCGATCGGGAGCTGCGCTGGCGCAACGTCCTCAAGCTCAGCGAGCTGCCGTGGGTCAAGGGCCACGAGATCATGGGCGAGCCCCTGCTGCCTGGTGCCTCGTACGTCGCGCTGGCGTTCCAGGCCGGGCAAGCGATCGCCGCCGGCAAAGCCGTGCAGTTAATGGAGGTGCAGGACGTGGAGATCCGGCGGCCCATCGTAGTTCCGGATTCGCGCGAGGGCCAGGACACGATCTTCACTGTGCGGCTGCTGGAGAGCGGCGACCCCAAGGTCATCGAGGGTCATTTCTCCTACTGCTACTGTTCGGACCCCAGCACGGGCGCCATGGTCCACACCTGCGAGGGCCGCTTGATCATCCACCTGGGCGAGACCGAGGGCGACGAGCTGCCCCCCAGCGCCCCGTCGCCGCCCAACTTGCTCCTCGTCGACAGCGAGGAAGGCTACGAGGTGCTGGCGCAGGCGGGTCTGAACTACACGGGCATCTTCCATCGCCTGCAGGACGTCGAACGCCGGCTGGACTTCGCCAAGGCCAAGGCCGAGTGGTCGGCCGAGGAGCTGCGCGGGGGATACGTCGTCCACCCTGCCTTGCTGGATGTGTCCTTCCAGAATCTGTTCCACGCCCGCGCGGACCCCAGCGCTGGAAAGCTGCCGACCAGCGTGCTGCCCGTGCATATCAGACGCGTGGCCGTGAACCCAAGGGTCACCCTTGGGGCGGAGGCCGGCACCATCCGCACGGTGACCCAGTCCTTCATCACGGCCCGCAACGGCCTGTCGCTCAGCGGTGACATCCATATCTATGATGGTGTGACCGGAGAAGCCGCGCTGCAGGTGGAGGCCCTCTCAGTGAAGCCTATCGCGCCGCCCACGGCGGAGCAAGACCGCCGGCTCTTCTTCGACACCGTCTTTATGGCTGACCCGTCGCTCTCGCTGCTCGAGCCGCTGCGCGACCCCGGCGACGTCGAGCGCGATACCGCCCTCGTGGCCGACATCGACCGTGCTGTGCTCTACTACGTGCAGCGGGTGCTCGAGCAAGTCGACCCCAGCGAGGTAGCCGGGCTCTCGTGGTATTTCCAGCGCATGCTGGACTGCTTCGAGCACTGGGTGCAGGTGGTCCGCGAGGACTCTCACCCGCTGGCCCAGAGCAGCTGGCTTGACGACCGGATCGAGGTCATCGAGGAGATCTTCAACCGCTGGCCCGGCCAGATCGATATCGAGATCGTGCGCGCCGTGGGCGAGAACCTCATGGATGTGTTGCATGGCAAGACCCAGATGCTGGAAGTCTTGATGAAGGATGACCGCTTCGGCCGCATGTACTACGAGGGCTGCGGTTTCGCCGTCGTCAATGCCGGCATGCGCAACGTTCTGCAGCAGATCTCGAACAAGTACCCCCAGGCCAACTACCTGGAGATTGGTGCTGGAACGGGTTCCACGGTAAGGGGCTTTCTGTGTTTTACACATCCAGCGTGTTTCATTGCTAATAACTGTCTTCTAGTCCCACGCCATCCTGCAATCAATCGGGAAGAGCTTCGACACCTACACCTATACCGACATCTCCACCGGTTTCTTCGAGAACGCGGCCAAGCGCTTCTCGGAGTTCGCCAGCAAGATGGTGTTCAAGACGCTGGATGTGGAGAAAGACGTGGTCCCGCAGGGGTATGCCTTGCACTCCTACGACGTCGTCGTCGCCTCCAACGTTCTGCACGCCACGGGCAGCATGGAGGTCACCCTCGCACATGCCCGGTCGCTGCTCAAGCCCGGTGGCTTCCTGCTGCTGGTGGAAATCACCGGTATTGAAATCATGCGTATCGGCTTCTGTATGGCCGGCCTGCCCGGCTGGTGGCTGGGCGCGAAGGAAGGCCGCCGCTTCCACCCCGGCATGACCACCGAGGACTGGGATCGCACCCTGCAGGATACTGGCTACTCGGGCGTGGACCTGGTCTATCACGACCTGCCAGACGCTAACAAGCACTGCATGTCTTTCATGGTCAGCCAGGCGGTCGACGAGACCGTGCTGAAGCTGCGCGAGCCGCTGGGATACATCAACAGTGTGCCCCAGACTGACTCGCTGCTCGTCATCGGTGGCCACACCCTCCCGGTCTCCAAGCTCACAACCGCCATTCAACGCCAAGTCGGACCCTCTTGGCGCAGCCGCGTGGTCGTTGCCCGCGATCTCGAGGCCGTAGATTTCTCCCGCCTCTCGTCGCGCATGGATGTGGTGTGTTTGCAGGAGCTGGACGCGCCGCTGTTCGCCGCGCCCATCTCCCAGAAGAAGCTCAAGGCCCTGCAGGCGATTTTCCTGCGCGCGCGGAACGTGCTCTGGGTCACCAAGAGCCGGCGATCGGAGAACCCCTACCAGAACATGTTCTTGGGAATGTCGCGCGCCATCTGCAAGGAGCTGCCGCAGGTTTCCATCCAGTCCTTGGATGTGGAGTCGATCACCAACACCAGTCTCTCCGCGCGGACGGTACTGGAAGGCTTTGTACGGATGAAGATCTTGTCGGCGGTGGACGAGCAAACGCCTCTGCTGTGGACCCGCGAGCAGGAGCTGGTCATCGACGGGAATGAGACTCTGATCGCCCGTCTGCGTCCCAACCAGGAGCTGAACGACCGATACAATGCGCGCTACCGCACGGTCACGAAGGCTGCGCCCGGCTCCGATGCGACAATCCGCCTCGTCCAACAGGGTGACAAGCTAGCCTTGATCGAGGCAGACAACCGTGGTCTCGCTGATGACGCCGAGGATGTGAGGGTCAAGGCAGCTTTCTCACTGACAGTTCCCGGCGGTGACAAGCAGGAAACGCTCTACCTCACGGTTGGACACCAGGTTGACGTGGGAACTCCGGTGCTGGCCATCTCGCATGTTGATGCCTCTGTGGTGAGCGTGCCGCAGACGGATGTCATCCCCATCGACGAGACGGCTTGCGACGCAATTGTCCTCGAGAGACTAGGTGACCAGATCTTCGCCGATGCGCTGCTGAGCGCCGTCCCCGCTGGGCAGTCCGTGATTTTCTACCGGCCTCGGCGTGGTCTAGCCGCTGTCATTGCTGCCACGGCTGAGCAGCGCGCGATCGAGGTGTTCTTCGTGTGCTCATCCACTACAGACGCAGAGGTTCCCAGCGATTGGATCCGGATCCACCCCCACAGTTCTCCACGAGTCATTCCAAGCCTGGTTCCTCGCCAGGACTCGATCTTTGTGAACTGCTCGGGTTGCACGGACTATCTCGGATCCAGTATCCAATCCGCACTATCATCTCCTTGGGCAGTTTCGAAGCTGGACAGTGGGGTGTTCCAGAAGGGGCTCGATCTCCTGCGAGCTGACGGCTCACTTGCTGCAGGATACGCCGCTCTTCAAGACCGCCTCTTCGCCTTGAATGCAGAGTTGCCGGTGTCGGGTGAAATCACCATTCTGAACGTTGATCAGCTTGCACGCGTTGATGCCTCGATCCTGCAAATCACACACATCACTTCGTGGACTGAAACGACTGATTCTCTGAGCCTGGTCGTCCAGCCTCCCGACCTGACCACTCTATTCGATCCCGCCAAGACATACCTGATGGTCGGTATGGCCGGTGGTCTCGGCCTGTCGATCTGTGAGTGGGCCCTGAAGCACGGAGTGAAGCACATGGTCATCACCAGTCGCAACCCGAACATTCATCCTCGCTGGCTGGCGGATGCGCGCCACAAGGGCGCCAGCGTGCATGTCGAGTCGATGGATGTCACGGACCGGGCGTCGGTTCAGTCCACGGTGCGCCAGATCAGGAACACCCTGCCTCCCATCGCCGGTGTCTGCAACGCGGCCATGGTGCTGACCGATCGAATGTTCGTCAACATGGATGCGGACGCGGTCAACCGCGTCCTGAAGCCCAAGGTGGACGGGTCCAAGCACCTGGACGAGGTGTTTGCCGACACGCCCTTGGACTTCTTCGTTCTCCTCTCCTCTTGCGGTGCAACCATCGGCACTCAGGGCCAATCCAACTACCACGCCGCGAACATGTTCATGTCCGCCTTGGCCGCTCAGCGTCGCGAGCGGGGGCTGGCCGCCTCGGTCGTCCACATCGGCTTCGTCACCGATGTCGGCTACACCACCCGGCAGGAGCGGGCGATCTGGGAGATCTTCGCTCGCCTGCAGTTCAAATTCATCTCCGAGATGGATGTGCACCACGCGTTCGCCGAGGCCATCATCTCCGGCCGACCGGACAGCCACCGCCCGTGTGAAGTGGGCGTCGGTATGGACCCTCTGACGGAGCCCTTGCCGGCCGGCCACAAGCCAGCCTGGACCTCCGATCCGCGCTTCTCGCACTATTTGCCATCCACCAATGTCCGGAACGAGGTGGTGGCTCGATCAGGCCAGGATGACCTCAAGGAGCGGTTCCGCGAGGTGAGCAGCGAAGCCGAGGCTGTGGAGCTCGCGCAGGAGGCGTTTTCGGCCAAGCTTGAAACCATGATGCAATTGCCTGCAGGAAGCGTCTCGGTCCAGGTGTCGCTGATCGAGCTGGGTATCGACTCGCTCGTGGCCGTGGAGATCCGCACCTGGTTCCTGCGCGAGCTGGGCGCCGACATCCCCGTCCTCAAGATCCTGGGAGGAGACTCCATCGCCCAACTGTGCACCAACGCGGCAAAACAGCTGCTCGCCCAGCAGCTGGAGCAAACGGCCTTCTCTAAGGCAGAGGAGGTCGAGACCGAAAGCACGACTGTGGACGAGTCTCAGGACTCGTCGCAGACTCCATCCGAAGCCCCGGAAACCGCCGAAACCAGCTCCCTCGGGGCCGCCGACCAAGATCTGTCATCTGCGAGCAGCTCTCCCAGCGTCGTTGATCCCACCGACGAGAAGGACGGCCACGAAGCCGGGGTGAACGTAGGACAAGACCCCCTCCCCGATGTGCGACGCGACGCTGACGATGATGACTATGGCCAAGGTATAATCGAGAGCGAGCGTCTCTCGTCTGGTCAGTCGCGGATCTACATTCTCTCGCAGTTCCTCAACAACCCGACCGCGTACAACCTCATGTTCCAGTTCGAGATTGACGGCCACCTGGACATGGAGCGCCTCCGCAACGCGCTCGCCCTCACCATGCAGCACCATGAGTCCCTGCGCACGTGCTACTTCGTGCGCGAGGAGGACAATCAGCCCATGCAGGGCGTGCTCGTCTCCCCCATCGTGCGCTTCCGCCATGTCGCCGACGCGACGGCCGACGACATCGCCGCGGAGGCGACTTTAGCCAAGACCCGGGTCTGGGACCTCGCCCGGGGCGAGACCATGGAGATGGCAGTGCTCTCAACCTCCGCGCAGTCGCACACCATCATTCTTTCCTATCACCATATCATCATGGACACCACCGGCTGGCGCTTCTTTATCCAGGACCTGTCCGCCGCCTACCGCATGGAGCCCCTCCAGCACACTAGCAAGACCTATCTGGAGTACACGCGCCGACAGTTCGAGCACCAGCAGACTGGGCAGTTTCAGGCCCAGCTGCAGTACTGGAAGAATGAGTACTCCTCCGTCCCCCCCGTGTTGCCCTTGCTGCCCATGTCCAAGACCAAGACGCGGCCCAGCACGCAAGACTTCCGCACCACCTACGAGTGGCAGGAGATCGGGCCGGAGGTCGCGCAGGCGCTAAAGGCCGCGTGCCAGAAACTGCGGATCACCGCCTTCCATTTCCACCTGGCGGTGTTCCAGGTCGTGCTGTCGCAGCTGGCGGGCACCGACGACCTTTGCATCGGGGTGGCGGATGCCAATCGGCTGGACGACGACTTCGCCGACACGGTGGGATTCTTCATGAACATGCTGCCGGTGCGGTTCCGCGTGTCCCCGGACGCGCGGTTCGCGCAGATCGCGCAGACGACGGCGCGCAAGGTCCTGGGCGCGGTGCAGAACTCGGCCGTGCCGCTGGACATGATCTTGGACGACCTGCACGTGGCGCGCTCCTCTGCCCACACCCCGTTATTCCAGGTCGCCGTCAACTACCGGCTGGGCGTCGTCAAGAAGATCCCCTTCGCCGGCCACTTCCTGACCATGGCCGACGTCCAGGAGGCCAAGAACCCCTACGACCTCAGCTTCGCCATCATCGAGTACGGCGCCGACGGCTTCGTCCTGGAGATGGCCTGCCAGGAGTCCCTGTACGACGCGGCCGCCACCCGCACCATCCTGGACACGTATGTGCGCGTCTTGAAGGACGTGGTAGCAATGACCCACACTCCCGTCGCCGACGTGCCCATCCATGCTCCCGACGCAGTCCTGGCGGCCCTCGAGCTCGGCCAGGGCCCTCGGGTGGACTTCCACTGGCCCGGGACGCTGTCGCAGAAGGTCCAGCTTGCGCAGAAAGCCCATCGAGAGCAGGTCGCCATTCGTGACGGTAGTCAGGCGCTGACGTATGCTCAGCTCGCGGAGCGGGTGAACGCGATTGCTGCAGCTTTGAAGGCTGCAGGTCAAACGGCCGACTCCCGGGTCGCCGTCTTGTGCCAGCCCTCAGTCGACTTCACGGCCTCGATGCTCGCCATTCTCCATATTGGCGCGGTCTATATCCCGCTGGACGTCAGTCTGCCTCCAGCGCGGCATACGGCCATCGTCGCCAGTGCGCGGCCTAGCGTGGTGCTCTGCCACGAGGCCACTCTTGAGCGCGCTGCCCAGCTTGGCGTCGGGAAGGAGAACCTCGCCTTGCAGGCCATCAATGTGGATGAGATCGAGGCTGCTTTCAAGAAGACGATCCCTTGCACTGCACAGCCGCAATCGCCCGCCGTGCTCCTGTACACGAGCGGCTCGACCGGCAAGCCCAAGGGGGTGGTGCTCTCGCAGAGCAACTTTGTCAACCACATTGCGCTAAAGATCGAGGCACTGGGTCTGCGGCCGGGATGCGAGACCGTGCTGCAGCAGAGCTCGCTGGGCTTCGACATGTCGCTGATCCAGACCTTCTGCGCTCTCTGCACGGGGGGCACGTTGGTGATCGTGCCGTACGAGTCGCGCCGCGATGCGCTCCACATCACCCGACTGATGCACCAGCACCAAGTCACCATGACCATCGCCACGCCCTCCGAGTATCTGACCTGGCTGCACTACGGGCGGGACTCGCTGGCCGAGTGCGCCGGCTGGCGGTGGGCGTGCATGGGCGGCGAAGCGGTCCATCGCTCCCTGCTGCACGAATTCCAGCGGCTGGGCCTCGCATCCCTGTCGTATCTGAACTGCTACGGCCCGACCGAGATTACCGCCGCGGCCACCTTCCACCGCATCTCGCTGGAGACCAGGGAGGAGGATGAGCCTGAATCCCAGAGTACGGTCGGCAAGGCTCTGCCCAACTACGCGCTGCGGATCGTCGATGCGGCGGGCCGGCCTCAGCCGGTCGGATTCCGCGGGGAGATCTGCATCGGTGGCGCCGGGCTGGCGATGGGCTACTGGGGGTCGCCGGAAGAGACAACGAAGCGCTTCGTCACGGACCGAGCATCGCCATCGACAAGATGGTATTGCACGGGCGACCAAGGTCGATTGACGGCGGATGGGACGCTGGTTTTCCAGGGTCGGCTGGAAGGGAGCACGCAGGTTAAGTTGCGCGGGCTTCGGATCGAGCTGGAGGAGGTGGAAGGGGCTCTGCTGCAAGCAGGGGCGTCGCTGTTCTCGACAGTCGTGGTCACCATGCGAGACGATCTCCTAGTGGCCCATGCGACAACGGTCGGTGACCGGACAGGTGAGATCGAGCCGGCGGTGATCGCGGACCTGTTGACGAACCTGCCTCTGCCGCAGTACATGTGTCCAGCCCAGGTAGTCATTGTCGACGAGTTGCCCCGTACCAGCAATGGCAAGATTGACCGCAACGCCCTGGCCACCGCGCCGCTTTCTTCGGCGTCTCGTTCTTGTGGTGATGCCAGTCAGCACGGTACTGCACCTAAGCTGAGCCTTCGTCAGGGCGAGCTCCGCATTCTTTGGGAGAAGGTCTTGCCGCCGACCAGGCACGCGCTGACGGCCGAGTCGGACTTCTTCCTCGAAGGCGGCAACTCCCTGCGGTTGATCAAACTGCAGCACGCCATCAAAGAAGCGATGGCGGTCTCCATTTCCACCCGCGAGCTGTACGAGGCCTCGACGCTGCGCCAGATGACCGCGCGGATCGACCTCCAGCGCGAGCACCAGGTCATCGAGAACGAGGCCATCGACTGGGAGGCCGAGACAGCCGTTCCCAAGTCTCTGGTGACCGCGGCGCGGAACGCCAGCAAGCACTCTGCCGTCCGCATGAACGACGATCAAGCCATCGAGGTGCTCCTGACCGGAGCCACGGGCTTTCTAGGCGGATGCATCCTGAACGAGCTGCTGCAGGACCCTCAGATCCACAAAGTGCACTGCGTGGCCGTCCTACCCGACGAGCAGCGCCACCTGCCGGCCCATGACAAGATCGTCGCCTACACGGGGAGTCTTTCGTCTTCGACGCTGGGGCTCAACCCGTCCGAGTGCCTCGCGCTGCAGGAGGCCATCGACGTGGTCATCCACGCCGGCGCCAACGGCCACTGCCTCAACAACTACTCCTCCGTGCGCCAGGCCAACGTGCATTCCACTCAGTTCCTGGCGTCCCTCTGCGCCCCGGCCGCCGTTCCCCTGCTCTACATCTCCTCCAACCGAGTGCCCTTGCTCGCAGCCAACAACACCGCCCCGGTGCCGGGTCCCGTGGCCGCTGAGCCGCCCACCAATGGCAGTGAAGGCTACACGGCGTCCAAGTGGGCCAGCGAGCAATTCCTGCAGCGGGCCTCGGCGCTGACGGCGATGCCCGTGGAGATCCACCGCCCGTGCGTGGTGATCGGCGACCAGGCGCCGACGTCGGACGCGCTGAACGCGATCCTGCGCTACTCGCTGCAGATGAAGGCCATCCCGCGCTTCGCCAACGTGGAGGGGTACTTTGATTTCAAGCGGGTTGAGGAGGTGGCGTGCGAGTTGACCGCCGCCGCCGTTCAGATGAGTCGTCATCGTGGCGCAGGGCCGCAGGGAGAGGATTCTCCGCAGCAGCAGCAGCAGCAGCAGGTGCGCTTCCGGCATCATTCGAGTGGCAACAAGGTCGCGTTCCCGGCCATGGTGGAGCATATGCGCACGCTTTATGGGGAAGAGTTCGCGGAGGTGGAGTTCATGGAGTGGATTGCGCGGGCCCTCGAGGAGGGAATGGATCCGTTGATCTCCATCTATCTGGAGAGTTTGGTGGAGAAGGGCGAGATGTTGCGGTTCCCGTACATGGGCGAGACGCTGGCTGTTTAGATGAGACTTTTTTTCTTCTTCTGTCTTTGAGTTTGATTTTCCTTGCTTGTGTTGGTATCGTGTCAGTTGGCTGTTTGGATATCTGTATGATTTTCTTGTTCTTTGATTAGTAGCAAGGCGTTTGGTGGATCTGCCTATCTCTGTCCTCACTTTGGGCTATATATTCCAGCCGGTGATAGTGTAATTTGTCACATGAGTATCGAACTTCGTTTCAGAACTCTTCCTGAATAATGTACAAGTTGTACGTAGAGGAGTAGACTCAAGGAAACAAGTTCTTTTTGGTTCAAGGATACCAACCTACATGGAGGGTGATATGAGAAAGAAGAAGTAGAAATGGAGTGAAGCTGAAAGCCGAAGCCGAAGCCTTCAGTGGTGGGTCACGTGACGGTACCCTCTGCCCTCCACACCAAACAAGGTCCATATGGTTCACGGTCGCGTTTTCGTATATGGCTTCGTAAGACATGCATCATCACACTTAGACCCCTCTACACGCGCGGATGTCAAATCATGCTCGCAGCCGTCGATTCCCAACTTCCTTGGAAGATTCGGATCGTATCACATGATAACCATTGTCTGCCTAGCGGATGCCCGAGGCACTCGAGGCACTCGGATTAGCTGCAGGTTGAATGCGAAGCTCTGGAATTCCAAGGCGTTCTCTTCTTCATCCAAGGCTTTCTAGGCAATGGTCATCATGTGCCCTGGCACAATTCAGTTTTACTAAGATACCTCCTCCCCAAAATATGACACTGGTTGTCTAAGAAATGATCGTTGATTCTGGTTGATAGGAAAACACGAAATGCAAGGAACTGTCAAGCACCGCTAAAACACCACCCGGCTGAGCTCTAACCAGCAAACACGAATATGCTCTATCCATTAGCCTGATGCTTCTTTTCTAAAGAATAGCTCGGGACTTTCTGTCTCGTTTTCTATGGTATCTACTTCGAAGAAGACAACCTCCCCTCGCACCTTGTTCTTACCCCCGCCACCCCCAGGGACTCAACCCCAACCCTTATTACCCTAATTGCCCGTCAGGCCGGAGATAAATACCCCCACAGGTCAGCCAATTGCTCCAAAGAATCCTTGACGCTAGCTTGGAACCGCGTGGCCCGGAGCACAGGCCGGTACTGCACGTCGGCGAGGTCGATGTACAGCCGCAGGACCTCGCGGGGGCGGCGCAACTCCACCAGCTGGCCGTCGCGATCGGCGAGGACGGGCTCCCCCTCCTTGTACTTGATGAAGTTCAGCAGGGCGGGGTGGTCGGCCGGGACGTCGTTCAGAACGACGGACCGGAGCTGCGGGGGCACGGTGGCGCCGCGGTCGCTGACGGAGGCGGAGGCGGAGCTGCTCATCATGGAGATGATGCTGCTGGAGCTAGCGCCGCTGGAGCTGCTGGTGGTCGAGGAGGAGGCGAGGCTGGCGGCCTCGACGGGGCCCAGCATGAGCGCCGGCAGCCAGTCGTGCGGGTGGCGCTTCATCGACAGGAACATGGTGATCAGGGCGACGCGGTACACCACGGCGGACCACCAGAGCGGCTGGTCCGCCGGGGGCATCAGGCGCACCAGGCGCAGGATCTGGCCGCAGTGGACGAGCGCCTCCTCCTCGCTGTCATGGGCGATGGTCGCCGGGCAGGCGCCCAGCGGGCACGGGCCCGATCCCCGTGGGTTGGGGGCCTCCGGGCGCGCGGGGGGCCCCCGCAGCAGCGCGGCCTCGATGCTGGGGAAGCTCGCCATCGCGTTCAGCGCGATCAGGTGGTACATGACCAGCATGGCCAGGCCGGCGGGCGAGTTGGTGTTGGCCGAGTGCACGGCCAGGTTGAACCATTCGGGCAGCAGGGCCTGCACCTGGTCGAGCTGGGCGTGGATGGCCGGGTTAGACAGCCCCTGGGTGCTTTTGCGCCAGCGCACCGGGCAGTTAGGGAAGGACTGCAGCCACTGGCGCAGGTGACAGACCATCCCATGCAAAGGGACGAGCAGCAGGCGCAGATAATGCAGGGGCAGCCGCGTGCCTCGCCCGGGGCGCAGCTCGCCGTTCATGAAGCAGGTATACAGGTCGCGCAGGCAGATCGGGGGTTGCGTCGCGAAGACCTCGGGCGCGAGACGTGCCCAGTCACTCTCGGAGCCCGCCTTCCACAGTCGGTCGTCGGCGGGTAGTGACTCGGTCAGCGTGTCCACGGAGAAGCTGAGTGGAGTGTCGTAGAACAGGCTCCATTCTTGATCTGTTACGACCCACGCGTACGTGAGCCTGGTTGATAAAGTCAGTGGGAACTCGATGAGGGCAAGCAGAAAGTTTCAGTCACTCACCGCGAGTTCATCTCCTCCTCCTTCCATTGCGCCCATTGTTGGTTGAGGCCTAGACTGCTGCTAAGAAGGCTAGGAGTGTCGCCGTTGTCAAGAGAAGGAGGTTTTCGGTGTAGTAACTATATTGCTGCCGGTTAGTATTTCCATTCGGCCTGGGGTAATAGACGAAGATAAGAAACACTTGCCTGAGTGTACATTTGCCGGTGAGCGCAAGATGTCTGTAGCCAGTTGAATGAAAGATTAGCAGGTGACAGGGGGAAATAAAAAGACAGAGATAATGCGACGTAACGTCGGACTCACCCGCATGAGCCATCGTTCACCAGACCACATCCCCAGATAAAGCAGCAAAAGAGCGCAATGAGACACGATATCCGGCCTCGTGCTGGCCACGTCTCCTTCCATCATATCGGACAATGCAGTGCGACACGTCTCCGCCAAGCCGGTCGCGAAGATATGCAGTTCTGGGGCCGGGGAAGCTGTGGCCCCGATCGCGATCATCAGCAGAAGTAGTATGCCAGCTGCCTTGACGTCGTGCGGAAGATCATGCATGAGCGTGTTTGGGTCTTGCAGCTCCTCGCTCGACAGGCCAAAATACTGCTCGAAGCAGGAGACCTGGGCTCGTAGTAGGTCATCTAGCGCCTTGGCTGGAGGTAGGGTCACGATGGTGAGGTTGAGTGGACTGAGTCTTCGGCCGTGGCTGCTATGTTCCCGCGAGTGGATGTTGCGGGTCTGCATCAGTAGTAGTTGAGTCACCACCAGGAGGTTATCGCGCGTGGTGTCCGTAATAGGGTCTACGGCCGGGGGTGTGGCGATCGAGGAGGCACTGGACTCAGTGCTGCTGGTATTCCACGGCTCTCGGGAATTGAGCGTCTGCTCGAATTGCTGCAGGCTGAGGCGCATCTGGCCGCTCCAATCTTCCCCCCAATGCCGTGGCTGCCCTGGGCATAGAGAGACAAGGGGGATGTTGCGCCCGCAACTGGAGGATTTGCGCGGAGAGTGACTCAGGGGAGGGACGGTCATGGGCTCCAGGTATGATTCCCACAGGACATCGCTTGTGGAATAGCTGATGAGCTCGCTGATGAGGTCGAGGTCGGGTGTGGACTGATGCGGGGCGTCCTGATCCAGGACCATGGCCAAGGGCATATGTAACGATGACTCTGGAGTAATCTGCTGTAGCCACTCGGTAGACAAGTGCGTCGTCTCCTCGGTGCTGGGGTAAGGGACACTGGCTGCTTGAAGGCGTAACAAGCCGTCCGGACTGCCGGTCTCCATGTCGGACCCTACTATTGCTGTGCTATCAGGCCCTACTGGGTTCTGTTTCGTTGTTTCCAGGGCACTCTGCTGCTCTTCTCCCCGTGGGACGTCGTCTGGCCGTAGCCTTCGTAATTGGAGTTCGGCCGGGCGTTGCATGGCTCGCCGGGCAGAGCGCGGTTGGCAGACCAGCTGCTTACTGACGCATCGTGTGCAAGGCACCTGTGATACACATACTCTTGGTCAGTCAATGATGCAAAGAAGCCACGCAGCGACTGCACAGCGCACCTACCTTGCGATCGCATCGTGCCTTGGCCTTGGAGCAATGCGAACATGCGATGTACCTGGTCTCTGTAGTCTTCATACTGATGATATTCGTAGATCCAAGCTTCTGTGCTCCATCGAGAGGTGGAGCTGGGCCGCCGGAGAGAAGAAATAGGCCAGAGATGCGGAGAGAGATAGCCACGGCAGTATCCCTGTCCTATAGATTCCCCTGTAGTCTGCCTCGATTGAATTCAAGCGATCCTCCAAGTTGATCCTTCGAAGCCGTCAGCATTTCCTAGCTTCTCTGCTGTGGTTGCGGCTACCGCCATTGGATCGAAAGGGTGAGAAGTGTATCAATCTGGTAATCTTCAGCCTGGCCATGTATCGCCACATTGCAGTTTAGGTTTGAGTTGGTACCAGGTAGGCAGGTCTCTCGCTGGAGGTGCTTCTCGACGTTCTCGGCGCAGTTTCGGCGATCCTGAATCATGGCAATCACATCACACACACCTCTCGCAGAGACAACGGAGAGAGACAAGACACACAATAATGTTGGGTTACAAATTTCGCCCCCATGATCCTTCCGCCTAGCCTCGACCAGCATCAACACCCATACGAGCATTATGGAGGCCTTGTTTGACCCCGCGACTGTTAGTGGGGGCGGTGGCGCCGAAGACCTTATCTCACTCCGCGTGGTTGAAGAAGCACGGGAAAAAAAGTGAAAAAGGAAAATAAGAAACAATAGGATCAAAACCATTTGTCATCTGAGTCTACCTGAAAACTTACTAGTCACCGATATACCAAGAGGGATTCCAGGAGGCTGATAAAGAGACTAGTCGAGTTGTGTCCTCCTGCAGGATCTAGCCAGAAAGCACGTCAGCCCACGTTGTTTGTTGATTCTAGTGTGAGGCTTCCCACGCGACGAAAGATGCGCCAAGATGGAGCTATTTCATCTAGGGTTACATTTACAGTACGTACTACTGTATTGTTTCTTTTTTTTTTCTTTTTTTTTCCCACTTGGGATGGGGACCGTGCACTACTGCTTCGCCAACAAGCCGTCTACTAGTGATCTGCCTCTGCTGTATACAAGATGCCCTAAAGAATTCCCGGAGTAGAGTCGCAGAACCTTATTCCAAGTGAATTGAGATCATAACTGACAACCAATTGACTATCTCATGGCCACCTTGCTAACATAACTGCTCAGCTAGTCTTGTGTGCTCCGGAACTTTAGAGTGTGTTGAGTATTTACTTTATCGGGAAGCGCGTAAGCACTGAGTCTTATACTAGGTTATTACCTAGGCCGGACTTTCTGCCCTCTGCTTTGATTCGCTACTTTGTCCGCTACATTTCTGCAAGCCAATTCTTCTGCCTGCCCCTAGATCCTTCTTTTTTCATCGGTCTTCGGTCTAGGTTAGCACGTGATCTATATACAGGAGTAGTAAGTGATCTTGTACTCTATCTAGGCCGTCGGACAGGATTGGAAGGATGGCCGGACGTCCCCCGTCCAGCCACGCCAAATTGCACGGAAAGTCTGGATTAATATCGAGGGAGAGATAGCTTTCCCACCAACACAAGTGCTTAAATGGAATTCAAAGGGGTAAAAGCCTATTAATAATGCTTGTTTACGGAGAGATGCTTGAGCAGATGTCTTTTCTGCGGAACACACTCTCCCACCCCAGGCCTGTGGAAAGTGCGGACACGTCTTGGATTTGATTCCCTCAGAGTTATCCGCAGTCGAATCCGGAGACCTGTAGCTAGTATACCTGGATCTTACCCTGACTCATGTTCCTCACATGGTATAAGCTAGCGAATCCCTACAGAACATTCAGTCGCAGTTCTCACGGTACAACTTGCTCATATATCAGAATCGTCGAGCCCTAGGTATTATCTGGACGATCGATACAGCCTGAATGTAATTCCCAAGCGAGAGAGCCGGCTCCAAATCCCGACCCACAAAGGATGATATACCTAGAAATGAGGATCACTAGCTAGGTGTACTAGCCATTACTCATTTATCATGTAAAGAAAGCTCAAATTTCCGTGAAGTCCCCCTCATTCAACACATTCAGCAACCCGAGTCAATTCAGCCGAAGCCATGTCCAAAACTACAGTGCATCAATACGGTGTTTCGCTTTATGCTGAGATCCAGGATCATCGAAGAATGAAGCTAGCGGTACAGCCCGACCACCCACCAATAGATATGGTGTAGTTAGTGCTTTAGTTGCTTTTTCTGCAGCTCTCTTCACCCTTCAATCTACTGCTTGATCGTCATCTTACCACGTGGTTTGGGGGCAGGGCATCTGGCCCGTCGATGATCGGTACCGTACGGAGTATTGAGTAGTTGGAGTACAGTACGCGTACTGAATTCTCAATTCTAAGGTTTTGCATCATGCCACATTCCGCAGAGGGTCCTAGGCCGGGGGATGCAGTCAGCAAGCTAAAAATTCCTTAGATATGCATATACGAGCGCGTAGTTGAGGTGTCGACTCCTTGCTTCAACGTCACGGCCACTAGGCTGGAGGTAGGTGCTAGGTAACTTAACTCATACTACTGTATACGATCCGTAATCTGTCAATCTTTCCGTCCACCCGAAATCCATTGAGGCGATAGTGCGAATTGGAAGAGGCAGTGCGGACACCCCGCTCGGACCTCATTTGACGGGAGTGGTTTTCCAAGTCCTCCCGCTGTATTGTATTGTAACGGTCTATCAGATGCATGATTCAAGCTAAGGAGTGAGTACTAGGTAGGTAGCTTCAGCACTCAAGACAGCCAATTGCTCAGGATGCAAGCACTAGCTACCAGTGGCTAGTGTCTCTGCTTGGTAACATCTCTGTCAGGCTGGCATTACTGACTGGATACTACCTAGCCCATGAGGGCTTCCCTACTAATGATCTCCGGAGGATCACCTCGCGTAGACTAGGGCTGATCGGGTCTAGATAACCTTGGGGGGCGGAGCATTTCCCAGCAGGGTCCGGAGTACTAATACTCAAACATAAGCCTGCCATTTGTCCAGATGAGACCACGCGGTCACGCGATTAGTGGGATTTCTTTTTCTATCCCATTTCCATGTACTTGCTTAGCGTAGTAGCCTTACCCTCTTCACCCCGGGGAAGAGAAAACAAAAAAAAAAGTGTCTTGGTCTCACCTATGCAGCACGCATGCATGGATGGCCTTCCTTCCATCCTGCCTAACGAGATACGTATAATCAGCAACTGCTTCTTCCCCGTTGTTTCACAATCGACCCCCTGTCGTTGATATATCCCAATTCATTGGTATTGAACAACAGCCTGGTCCATTCCCGCCAAACAGAAAGGAAAGAGTCTCAGTAAGGGATGCAGAATTCCGTAAGGCCAACCACCCACGCGTGTGTGTCACCCAATTGTTGACCAACAGCAGGGCAGAGCGACTAATCCCCGGGGTATGCCAAGCCGTTTCACGGATCTTATCGAGTCTTCACGACTGTTGCGTCCGGTGCAGTTCCAGGAGCCATGTGCACGAGGCCACAGCCCATGCTTCACTCAATAGTCAAGAGGACTGATTGCTCGGTCGTAGGTTTGTCAGCATAGGTGCTGTCTGCCTCCACTCGAGACCTGGCATCAGGACTAAGATGTCTTGGTATGTAACCCAAGGCTAGCGGGCGGTCACCCTAAGCTCTGGATTGCGCGCTAATTCTCTCGGCAACGAAGCCCTAAACCCAGGAGGGAGGAGGGGTGGGTGCTGAGTTGGATTCGGTCCGACTCCGATGGAGGATCCTTTTGCTTTCTCTGCTGTGACTTAGTCCTCCGTTCTCCCGTTGAACATAGCCTATCCGCAGATTATCAGAGTAAGTGTAAGCACGCCGCGCAGTCACATTTTACATTCTACGGCCTTGTCGTCGCATTGCAGGCTCTGACTAAGCAGCATTCAGTCGATCTATCCTGCGTTCGACTCATAGTGGCCCTCCCGATTACCACGAGGCAAATTGGTCCAATTCCCAAAGGCAAAGGCCACGTGGAATTCGACAGATTTACCCCGGCGGAGGCGAGAGCAGATTCAATTTTAGGACGCATCAACCCTCAACTGCACCTCTTGCTTCACTCTCAAGGCCAAGGCACGCAAGGCTGCTTTCTTCAAACCAAGCAACGTTCCAAGCCCCTCGGCAAACGTGCATCTCCTGAAGCACAGCTGTCCTTAAGAGCCTCTGCCAAGTGCGGCTGAAGCGGCAAGGACTGGTGGTCAACTCAATCCAACGTACCGTACTTTTTCTGCCGCAAGTCTGACTGGTCTACTGCAGGAGAGGCAGGATTCTGGGACGCTGAGCCGGATCAGTCATCCTGCAGGGAAAGAACGGAGTCCGTCCCAGAGGCAAGGACTGACCTTGCATAGCATAGGGCTCAGCGCCTATGTGCTTGGCAAATCCATCAGGAAATGACAGTAATCTATTCGGGTTCGCTGTGCTATCCGGATCTAGTTAGACGTTGTTGGGATTGACTGCGGGATTTCGCTTGTGCAGCATGCTTCCGGCGTCAGGGTGGCGGTCTATACTCCATCGCTCGATGAATAATAGGGAGACGTGTGGACCCCGGCGCAGAAGGTGGCTGGTTTCGTCCTGTCTCAGAAATCTCCATTCGTCCGTGTGTAAGGTCTTGGAAGGTGGAAATGAGAACATCTGAGACGAGGATTTGCTATCCACAATTGTACATAGGGGAATGAACCAAACGCCCACATCGCCCGACAGCGTTTCCTTGTTTGCGCAAGACAACCAAATGAACCAACCTTGGTGGTTACACTGTGCAACCCACAGGTGATTCCGGGGCCTGATTCGCTGTTGAATGGCGTGCTCAGTGCAACGGTACTAGGTAAGGCAGTGTGTGCGGATGAGGTTCGTTGCTGTTGCCTTTTTCCACGTGGTATGTGGTATACACTACTAGTAGCTCTCTTACAACCCACATGGCAGCTACAACTCCTACTGCAGAAAGGGGGTGGATCTACTCCACTCAACCATCGCATCGGCTGACCTTATACATTTCAAATCTTTGCTGAATCTCTCTTCGCATTGATGTCTCACTCTAGCTAGTCAGCATGTTCGCTCAGTTAGGAGGCCGTCAAGACAATGAACCAGACAGGCTTTCGTGCTCCCCCCTCCCCCCCTGGGATTCTGTTTCATGAAAAGCGTTCCATCACACAGCATGATCGTGTGAGGTTCAAAGCCGGCCTGTCTTCAGGGTGGAGTCGACTTATGATGTTCGGCAATTGACCCGAGCCGTTCCATCTACACCGTACCTACAGAGCACACTTCTCACAAGGCACGGGTGCCACTTTGTGGTGCTCCGTGGACCGACTCAGGCTCTGACTCGAGCGCGGAACATCGTTGGATGGAATCAACTCGAAGAAGCTCGTCGGTTTGAGCGAGACCACCATCTTCTCGACTGGCATGACCGGAAAGTCTGGGGCCACAGTTAGCGATCCGAAAATAAAGGTAGACCAAGGACAGCACACACATCTTCCGGACGAGTGATGTGCGTGGTGCCAAATATGTGCCAGAGCACGATATTCCCGTTCTCCACGGACTGCTGGCGTTGACTCCATACCCCCCAGCCCGGTGTCGTTCATGCTCTGGTTGGTGAACTCCCCGACCGCGTGGAGTTCTTCGTCGCGGTAGTCCGTGACCCAGATTGGCTTGGTTGTGAACCGTCCCGGCGGAAGTTGAAGGTCTCTGGCCCCATGATGAGCCCCTGGCACGGGGACGCGTGCAGCCGGTACCCCACTGGTTCTCCAATGATGGCGTTGGTCCGGCTGGGGTTGATGATGCGGCACGTTTGGGAGGCGGCGGGATTGAGCTCGTAGCCTCCGGGCTGCGTGATAGCTGTGGTGGTCCGGCGGAACGCACAGCCTTGCGGGTCTTCGACGGTGGAGTCGTCGCGGACGGGGAGAACGTCGTCGTAGACGATCGTGTTGCCGGTGCCGTCGAGAGCGGGATCAATCCGGAGGTTGAGCAGATGTTGATGGTTGACGGCCAGGACACCGGAGGCCACGGCGGTGCCCCAGGGCGAAAAGGTGTGGCGCGCAATGGGCATGGTGGACATGTGCCTGTCGCTTTGACCTCCACATGCAGGTTGGCGGCTTGGTCCAGCACGAAGGTGAGAATGTACTCGTAGTTCATCACGGTGGCCGTGCACTGGAGGACGAGGGTGCGGGTGCGCACCGTCGACGCCTGGCCGTTGCGCACATTGATGTGCTTCCCGCCGATCCCCTCGTCCACCTCGTGCATGCAGATCACGTTCTTCATCTCGACGGGCTTGCCGGTCCCCGTCGCGCGGATTCCGTCGAAATAGGCGATGTGGCTGAGACAGTCGCAGCCCAGGGTCAGGGTGTTGGAGGTCAGGCTGAAACCCATGTCGCCCAGGTCGAATGCCTGCTTGTGACGGTACGGGGCCCGCGAGTCTCCGTATGGGACGGTCATCTCGCTCCTAAAGACCCGATGGAAGAGCGACCGACCGTCGTAGAAGACGTTGTGGAGCACGGGTCCCTCGCGCACTGTCCATCCCAGGTGGAACGATAATTTCTGCCAGGTGATCTGGCGTCCGCGATGCGGAATGACGGGCCCTTCGGTTGGTCGACATGGCGCGGCTTCAGATCTCGGCGGAAATAGGGCTTGCCTAGGAGGCGCTCGCTGTACTCGACTGGCTTCACGGCGTCCCAGGGAACCGTCTCCTGATCGAGCTCTGCCCCCGCTCCTCGTGGCAGCCTTTCGATCTCTACTAGTTCGACGGTATGGGCGTCGAAGATAGGCGCAAACGCCATGGGGAGGGAGTAGTGGTTCGCTTCTTGATCATCATCGAGGACAGCGTACATGTAGCACTGGTAGAGACGACGGGTTACATCAGGTCTGTCGGTCCCGTACAGCCACGGGTCGTTGACCACCGATGCCTTGCGGTAGTCAGAGTTTATGTGTAATATCTTGTGTGTTGGGGGGGGGAGTGGGATGATTTGGCCAGAGAGCGCTGCTCACCTCTCGGGTAGTTTAAGCTTCTTCACCTCAGCAAGAACCAGCGGATTCTCATTGCAGGCCTTGGACTTCAGAATACTGGCGGTCTTCTTCTACAGTGCTATTGGTTACGTTGACTTTGGCCTTGCACAGCGTGGCATTCCCTTACTGATGATAGTAGATGTAGGCTCTCCGCGGAGGCGCTAGTGAGCCTCGCCTGCGAGCGTTCAGGTATGCCAGGAGTGAAGCTTTAAAGGGCTCCAGAAGGTCAATGACCTTAGAACGAATGGGAGTAGTCTTATGATGAGCTCGTAAGATTTGTGCTCATTCGGGGCGAGGGGGTCGAGAGGGTGAGACATGGCGATGCGGGAAGTAGGCAGTGAAGGGGCGTAAGTAGTAGGATAAGGAGAGAGTATCAAATAAATCTTGCACCATTCTAAAGTTCCCTAAGCTTTTGCTAGACGTTATATACCAAATCTGATTTTCTCCGGTTGCACAATTGAAGCCGCATTATACATGGTATGGATGACTGGGACACACCCTTGAATCAAGGTACGCTGGCCGATTCTTGATTTGGATTAACTTACGTCAGCGAATCACATAGCCAGCCATCCAATGAGTCTCATGCTTCAACTTGTAGCTTCTGCGATCGGGGTAAGGGCGTAGGTGAGTGTTAGGAGATTGGGATGATTGCCCACTCGGGAGTTTCCAGCAAATAACCCCCGACTGAGGCGTGCTCGGCCCCAGTAGTTTATACAATATGTCGCTAATGCTAAGGAGGCAATACTGATTGAGGAAAGATTGATTCCTGATTTTTCCGCAAAGCACATTTGCAAAAGAGACCCTTATTCGAAGTCAAAAAGCCTTAAATCACACATACTCCGGGCAGGCTTCACCGTGACGTCAGTCCCATCAAGAATAATATCCTGAACTTGAGATGGATATCCTTCGCGATTGAAGCCAAAAGCCCAACGGATGAGACTCTGATCATAGAACTTTCCATTGACTGTGATCTGAGCTCCTGGCTCATCGTCTCCAGTGGTGGGAATGGCTCTGCTATCCTGAGGCACCGATGTGACCTCCCCGAATATAACAATTGACCCCACAATTGAACCTAGTAAAGTGATGTGTCATAATGTTGAAAGAAGGGGTTAGGCGGGGATTTACCGTGATAATGAGTGACACAGACCAGACAATTAGATTGCCTGCATCAATTGTCGCCATTGACCCAGTGATGTCCTTCTATTTCCCAACTGAGATACTCGCACAGTATCCAGGAACAGGCTTGACCATCCTCTTCTTACCCCCAACCCCGCACGATGCGACACGACCTCAGATCGACCCATCCAGTGAGGTGATAGCCTTGATAAGAGGTCTGTTAGCAGTTGAAAGCATTTCCTATTGGGGACAAGCCCATTGGCGGGTTCCCCAATTTGGGAAACGAGGCCACTCGCTTGGACAGTGAATCCGTGGTCGCCAGGGAGTCCAGATCCCCTTCCGGTGGTGTCTAAGCTATCACCAACTCCCCCAAAACCTTGGCGGCGCCTATCGGGAGCTGGTCGCTCCTACTGTGCACTACACGCCACTACGTACGGTACACCCATTTATATGAAGTGATAGTCATGGCTCGAGTTGGATGATCATCATTTTGACAATTGCAACCGACACCCCTATTGATCTTTACCATGTCCTTCAATCCCCCCAAGTACGGTGACGAGGTCCAAAAAGTGTCCAAAGACACACCACTCGAAGAGATCGTGTATTTGCTCAAACGAGACGGTGGGGTTTTTATCAAGAACCTCATTCCGGAAAGTGACGTCGACCAAGCCCATGAGGAAGTCAAATCGCGACTGGACGAGGATGTCGAATGGAACGGTTCATTCTTTCCAGGCAAGCGCTGGCAACTACGACGAAAAGGATAAACGGTACTGACACCACCACCAGCACAAACCCAACGGGCTCCATCCCTTATCGCCAGAAGCCCGACCTACACCAAGACCCAGCTCATGAACCCACTCTTCCGCGCCGTCTGCGACCACTTCCTCACCTCCCGCCGATGGTACTGGTGGGGTGATGAGAAGAAACTCTCCGTGTCCAAGCCCTACGTGCATTCCTGCGTGGCGATGCGCATCGGTCCTGGCGGCACGGCCCAGCCCCTGCACCGGGACGACTACATCAGCCATCGCTGGCACCAGGAGATTGGGCAATGGGACGATGTCCGCGACGCCGAGCGCGAGGCCTCCGTCGGACTGTTCGTGGCCGGCTGCCGCGTCACCAAGGAGAATGGGGGCACGGCGTTCATCCCGAGGAGCCATCTATGGTATGCATTCTCGAATCCTGCTCGCGCCCGGGTCCAAACATTGACAACCCTAACTCATCAGGGGTTCCGACCGGACGACTCCCCCAAAAGTGGAGCAGTGTATCTACGCCGACATGGAGAAGGGCGATGGGTTCATCATGCTTGCCTCCGCGTATCACGGCGGAGGCGCAAATATCACCCAGGAGGAGAAACGCTTGATGTTCGCCACCTTCATCATTCGGGGTTACCTGCGTCAGGAGGAGAATCAGTTCCTGGCCGTGCCGGCCGATGTCGCCCGCAGCTATGATCGGGAGGTCCAGGAATACATGGGGTATACGATGAGTGAGCCGGCGTGTGGCTGGGTCGAGCAGCTGGATCCGATTTACCACTTACGTCCGGAGTTGAAGGAAGATGAGCGACCGACGGATTTCTAGTCAGGGTCTAGGACTTGTGGAGAATGTATATACATGATAGCGACGGTGGTGAGGGTGACCATGCAAGGAGTGTTTTCAAGTCAGTTTGTGGTTACTAAGCCCTCCTAGCAAGGAAACTAGGTTTCTCGCTAAGGTGATCATACCAAGCCAAGCTTAGAGTCAGTCTTATGCACACCCAGCTTCCATTCCCGCGGTCGCATCATAATTTTCCGGATCCAACAATTTGATCTATCGTTAGAGATGCGGCTTGCAGCAACAAAAGTACGTATGCAGCTGGACCTAAAGGGAAATGCGCTGTCCTGTTCACCTCCGTGACGGCGCTTAGATATCAAACTAGGGGAATGTCGGGCATGCGGCGCATACTTCCCAACTGGGCAATGCCTCCCACTGGCCCCGAATCTGGCGATGGCTTCAATTGATGGTAGATGTTACTGTATGGAAGGCTAATCTTTGGCCACTTTCAGTCGCTAATGTGACGTGCGATCAGTCGAGACGAGGGTCTGCAGCGCCCTGGCAATCAAAACAAGGCCACGAATCCATACCGAGCGTACATCCTTCCCCTCGCACACCAAGATCTTGGGACGCTCTATGCAGTCTTAGCGCTCGAATCATGCCACTAACACACCTCAGTAACTCAGAGGTCGACGAGCAAAAGAAATGCTGCCGCGATGATCGAGCACTAACTCGCTGGGATGCAGTCACTTGCCTCCCTGCTGATCAGAGAGGAATTGTACGGGCTCAACACGGAAGAGGTCAATTCCTTCTCGCCACAGTACTCCTCCTTGTCTCTACGACATGAGTAAACATTTACCCTCTGTCGCTGGAAAGTATCTTTATGGAAATTAGATCTGTGAGTCGGGAATTTCGTCACATGGGGTGCATCTAACCGGCACCGCCTACATCTGCCGCAAAATCTCCCAACAGCCGATGGCAATGCTATGGTAGGTTTCACCCCCGGTGTATTGTGACTCATGGGCAAATACTAAAGTAAGCTCAACGGAAGGCTAGATCTACTCCGAGGATTCAGCGGGGCCGAGAAACTGGCCTACGATAGCGGCACACATCAGCGCATCCGAGAGTTCGACCACATCAGCCTTTGCGAAACGATCGGATGCCCCGGCGAGCTCTTCTACCGCATCAGCGGGGTCATCAACTCGGTAAACAATACTTGGCTGAAACGCTATCCTTATCCGATTTTGAGCACATCCTGGCGGCCGCGGAACAATTCTTTCGTACTTGGGACGCCGATAACGAGAAGAGAGCTGCACTAGGTGCTGAACAAAAGGCCCACGCTGAAGCGCACCGCCACACGCATATCATCCGCGTCTTACGCTTCCCCGACACTTGGCGGATTTCATGCGAGGACCCTATGATTCCAGCGTCAGTTGTGGGGATTTTCGACGCAGCCGCCAGCATCCCCACAGCATCGCCCTGGTTCAAGCGGCTCTTGTTCCCGCTGTTTATCGCGGGCGCCGAAACGTCCGTGCCGCACCAGCAGCGGTTTGTGGAGATGTGCATTGGTGAGATCAAGCGGATGACGGGGTCTCAACATGTCGCTATGACCGAGGTCCTGGGCAAGGTGTGGGAGGAGAGGTCGCGACAGGTGGACCGGTCTCGAAATTTGCATTGGATGGAGTATGTAAGTGCTGTTCTTGTCTGCGTGTTGTGCATCTGTAGGTGATCTGTCGCAGGCTCTCATAGACAGTATAGACGTGCTCGGTCAATCTGGTCCAGCAGCATGATTATCTGTTCTTCTAGTCGCTGGCTGTCGGCATTGGTGTCAATTGCGGGTGAAGTCGCTCTCGGCTTGTACTGTACTTGACAGACTGCGCATCCAGCCAGCCTACGCTCGAGATTGTGTCTCTGAGGCAATCTCTGATTGCGGACCAACGTTAGTGGAGCCTCGACTGGTTGTTTTGTATGTGGCAGCCAATCGTGATTGACACAAAAACCTCACTTGGGCTGAATTGTACTCCAGAAAAGCCGCTGGCAAGTGCCAAGGATTTCTGTTGCGATACTCGTACGCATGTCCGGTTTGGGCAAGCGATACGAAGTCAACAATACCACCATTGCATGCACGAAACCGCGGACGTGAATGCAGATTTCTGTTCCTATTAATGTCTGCCTATTGGGTTTGACATTCAGAGAGAGAAAAATTTGTGATCGTAGTATCAAACACAGATGATGGTCCATGTATATAAAGCGTGCCATTCTCGATCAAGCATTCTAATTTCATCACTACACATTTATACCAAACTCACTACTTATACCTCCCCTCACCTTAAAAACAGCATACCCGAGAGCCATGATCAACCTTGCCCTCGACAACCACCCGCGCCTCAAGCTACGCCTGCACATAATAACCGGCTTTCTAATCACCCTGACCTTCATCTTAACCATCGCCCGAGTCGCCGACAAAGGCACCCCGCCAACCCGGACTAATACCTGGGGCATCGCAGTAGTGCGCTCCCTCTACCCGCACCCATGCCTAATCCCACCCGTATCAATTCTAACAACAGATTCACGCAGTGCCTAAAAGCAGCCATCTTCCTAGTCTATCAAGTCCTCACCACCTACCACGAGCGCTTCAAACGATGGGCCAGCCCCCGCGCCAACATGATCCTGGACATCATCGACACGATCTTCTGGTTTGCTTTGTTCATTATCAGCATCATGGGCGCGAATGGGGCGCATAGTACGAGTAGTAAGGCGCTGGGTGGGGTGGTGGCCGTGCTGGCGCTGGGATTGTGGTGAGTCTACAGTATCTTCTTGCGATGGTGGTGGGGTTACTGATATGAAGGTACAGTGGGGTGGTTGGATTGTTGTCCTTTGTGTGCGTGCAAGATTGGAGGTATTTCAAGGTGCATGGGGTTGTGCCGGGGCTGGGGAAGTCGCCTTGCTGAGGGCGGTTTGAGACTACAGGAATACATGGTATAAGCTGCGGGAATGATGGAGATGATGGAAAAGGAAATGATTGAACATTGGAACGCCCCGCTTAATCTTCTGTAATGCTGTCGTCTAAAAAGACTGGATCGAGAGTAAACGAAGACCTCCCCATAGGTTATCAAAGATGATGCCGGTTTGAATGATTATATTAACCAAATGGAAGTGTGGCAGCCCGGCTTCGAACGCAGGTCGACTCAATCCAATCACGTGATCCTTAGTACACAATACGTACAGTACGGTGTAAGTTACGGTATCGCAACTCTAATCTCGCATGGCGTGTAAAAGTATCAGTAAGTATCCACACTCTATCTCATACAGTCTCTACTGCGTAGTGATCGGAGAGATAAACACGGATTGAAATGAGGTCTGGGTCAATGAAATCATAGTCAGACCCTCGATCTGCAAACAGACCCTGGTAAGTGACCGATCCGCCACCTGCAGCTTGATCGATGGCTACCGAGCCGTCTGGAACATTTGGATCAACCACTTCCCAACTCTATCCACATGCTGGTGAAGCCTCGATGACCTCATGTCGTGGATTTAGTGTTTGTGAGACCTAAGTGATTAAATAACCACCCGAAGTAATGGAAGTATTAAAAGGGGAATGTGGCCCAAAAGTTCTTCCAGCGTTAGCAATGAGGAATCAACTCAGTTACAGCTTACCAGTTCGCTCGAAATTAGAGCAACAACACCCCACCACCACCAACACCACCACCACCACCACCAAAATGAAAGACTTGGTTAGTGCCGGCTGCCTCCGGATTCGAATTTGCTCTCTACTTACCTTTTACCTTTTACCTTTTATCGAAAGTAGACTTTCGACGTTCGCTATGATAATGAGTTGGCCCATGAGTATTATGGGGAAGGGTCCAAGCTGGCGAAAAAGTAAGACCAAGCCAGCCATCAAGCACCAATGAGGTAGTAAGTGTTTATTAGTTCGTGAGGTGCTGATCTGAGCGGTCGTCCCTTAGTATTCGAGAGATCTACAAAGCCAAGGACCTGCAAATCCCGGATGAGTTCGAGTCCACGCTGACCAGCCCACCCATCCACTTCATGTCGTAAGTCTAACCAGGTGGGGGTAGTAACGCCGAGGTGAAACTGACGATTCTCAGGGTCTCTGCGCCGGATGATGTAGATGTGGATGGTCTCCGGCAGGTGAATGTGCCTCCGGGTCTGAACATCGAGATCTTGGACTTTGAGATGTGAGGGTTGTCATTGCACAGATCACGGTGCGCCCGTCGGATAGGAGGCCAATTGTTTCTAGTGGTAATGGAGCAAGCCCCATCTAATGTAATGAATGAAATTGATGTGATTTTGTGGTTTGTGATTTGTGTGATATGTGATTTCTAGTTCCTAGGTACAGTATATATGCACCGAACTATTTACGGTCGACGGGGAGGAGAAAAGCGTGACCGGGTTTTGAGAGTTAGCGTATGTTAGCGTGTTTTATCGCTTTTTTATCTCCCTACACACGTATCTAGCCTTAAGTCCAAGCTCGCTCTCTCCTTTTTTCTTTCCAACTCCACCCAACCGCTTGTTCTGTCTCCTCCTCCTCCCCGGGGTAAGACCCGCTGAAACCACCCACTGTGACACACTATCATGTCTTCCACCCCATCGTCATCATCGTCACTATCATCCTCAACTCTATATGATACGAACCATAAAAGACGCAAAATTCGAAAGGGGACCTTCTCCTGCTGGGAATGTAAGCATCGAAAGAGACGATGTATCTTCGAGCCCGCCAGCAACCTCAGCTGTGTGTATTGCGACAGCCGAGGGCTGCAATGCATTAGCCAAGCCTTTGCCGATCCATCCAGCAGCGGCAACAACTATGAGCAGGTCGAGGATCGTATCCAGCACATAGAATCGCTCGTGGACCATCTACTGCGTCAGCGAAAGAATGCCCCTCCAACAATCTCATCCGCTCGACCCGCTGCAGCGAGGATGTCCAGGGACAAGCCCCCCCTGTTGAGCCAGCACGGGCTCGATGCAGAAGCCGCTTCCCTTGCTGTCATCAACCCAAATGGCGATTGGCACACATCCACGCGGTCACTGGGCAGCTTTCTCCTCTCATATATTCCTCCTGCCTCCACTGCTTCCATGATTCTAACCAAGGGTAAATTCTTCTATTTTCCATTTACCCTTGTGCAGTCGCCCTGGGTAAGTCGCCCACCGGCGCCAATCGAAGCAGCGAAGCCCGATGCGGCGCTAGAACTGCCATCATCAACCACCCCACCGGTCGACCTGGCCCGTAAGCTGGTACAACTTGCTCTAGGACTGCAGCAACTCAGTCTGACATCCTCCCGCGAGGTCCAGCTCCAACTGAGAGAATCACCGGGAGCCGCTGCCCAGCGCTATCTCACGGTCGCTAGTCGCCATGTCACGTCCGACAACGAGCTCGTCTGCTCACTGGAGGGGCTGGACACTCTCATGCTCGAGGCTCGCTATCACATCAACACAGGAACCATGCGATCGGCGTGGCTCATCTTCCGTCGGGCCCTCAGCGTGGCGCAGATGCTGGGCTACCCCCAGCGGCTCCAGCAAGCGAACCAGAAAACGCAGGCTCTCTTCTTCCGACTGGTGTATTGCGATCGGTTCTTGTCGCTCATCCTCGGTCTACCTCTTTCGCTGTCGGACAACAGTTTTGCAGACGAGCATTTCATGGCGAAGCTCTCGCCATTCGACAGACTGGAGCGCATGCACGTTGTTCTGGCGGGCCGAATCGCCGATCGGAACATGCGCATGCTGCCTCGCTTTGCCTCGATCGGACAACGGGAAGATGCTGGATTCGATGATTACAAAGAGACCGACGACATCGACTACGAATTGAGGAAAGCGATCCGATATTTGCCGGTCGCGTGGTGGGATCCGCCGGTGCTGGAGAACCAGGTGACCGAGGCGGAGAAAATGGGTGCCATTGCTCAGATCATCACCCAAATGCACCACCATTACCTTCTCATCCTGCTCTATCAGCCATATCTTGTTCAACATCTGGGACGCTCCAGAGAGGCTGACAGCGTGATATCTGTCCTGTCGGCCGGGGACCATGGGTACAAAAAGCTCGCCATCCTCTCCGCTAGCCGGGAAGTGCTGACGCGATGCCTGGCCTTCCGAGATGAGCACCCGATGATGTCCTATCATGGGTTGGACAACAAGGCCTTCGTTGCAGCAACGGCTCTCTTGATCATCCATATCGATGGACATAATCTAGGTCGTGCAAATGCACTTGAGCACCAACGGCCCTTGGATTTGAGAACTGTCGACAACGTCATCGATATCCTGGAGCAGCTCTGTACACGGAACCACCTGACAAGTTCGACGATCGACATCGTGCGGAAACTGCGAGTGATCGAGGAGGAGGCGGCGGACGGTGCAGAGTTTTACGTGTTGCGAGCCAACGAGGTCCCTGAGGCTGCGGAGTGCAGCCTGAAATTAGAGATCCCTTACTTTGGATCTTTCTGCATCCTGCGTCGGGCGACCAGACTTGCTGCTGAGGTTCCGATGGTGGCTGGCGCAGATCCAACCTCCATGTTTTTTCCAGTCAACAATATGGGCTTCACCGGTGGTGGAATGAACGACAATGCTCTTTTCTCTACTGCCAGCCAGACACAGGATCACCAGACCTACTCAGAGATGGATTTCTTCAACGCCTGGATCGGGTCACGGGACAGCAATTTCGTGCTACCGGAATCTTACGCTGGACAGCGATCCGTATCACACCTCAATTAATCCTTATATACCAATACAGACTGATTGGTCTCTTATGTACTCTAGTCTTTCTTTGCAGACGGCGAGGGCTCCAAAAGCGGGGTATCCGCAAAGTCATATCCTGTGAGCGTTTGAAACCGAATCCCAGCAACCTCTTTAGCCAATAGCCGAAGTGAGCGGTCCTCATCCCCAGACACAGGTATTGAGACGCTTCTCAAGTTCTCTTCCAAGCGCTCGGGTTTCGTGGTTCCCGGAATCGCAAAAATGTCGTCGCCTTGCGCGAAGATCCAGGCCAGGGCCAGCTGCGCAGTAGTGACACCCTTCTGTTGGGCAATGTCGGCGATTCTGTCCACAACCGTCAGGTTCTTGACGATGTTCTTCTCATGCAGCCACGGCAAGACTCCCCGTGAGTCGCCAGGCCGACTGACATCCAGGCGGGAACGCAGCTTGCCGCCCAACAGCCCATTTCCGAGCGGGCTGTAGGCCACGATGCCCACCCCCAACTTCCGTGCGGTCTCTAGCAGTCGGATCTCGGGCGACTCAATGGCCAGGCAGAACAGACTGTACTCCACCTGCACACAGGTGACGGGGTGCACGGCATGCGCCCGGCGCAACGACTCGGCACTGCACTCGCTCAGCCCGATGAACCTGATCTTCCCCTCCTGCTTCAATTGCACCAGCGCATCCATTGTCTTCTCGATGGGGGTGATTTTATCCAAGCGATGAACATAGTACAGGTCCACATAGGGGAGGCCCAGGCGTTTCAGCGATCGTTCCAGCGACTGACGACAGTACTCGGGCGTCGAGTCCATCTTGTATCCGTGCGGCGACTCGGAGGAGGGGCGAATCCCGAATTTGGTGGCCAGGAAGACATTCCGGCGCTTGTCCGGGTTCGCCGCGAACCATTTCCCGAGGATCTCTTCGGACGCCCCGTATTTATCGGCTGATTTGTTCGTCAGCAACTTCATTCCGTTACACTCCATTTCACCCTCCTCGAGCTCTGTGCTACGGCACGTATCTTGAACCACATACCGGTATCCCAAAACGTCTCGCCCTTGGCGTATGCCTCGTCCAGCAATCTCAGCATCTTGTCCTCATCCAGCGGCATATCGTACACGCCGCTGGCGCCCATCAGCCCCAAGCCGATGCGCGGAAGCAGAGGCCCGTGTCTGCCCAGCGGACGAGTCGGCAATTTGTCCGGAGTCGCCATTGTCGGTGTATAATGGGGGACGCTTGGTTGGTGGTGAATCTATTCTGGAGCACGGGCTCAGCCTTCTTCAAGGGGCCTTATCGCACTGTTTGATATAAGACATAGAGGCAGCCGGCGATTGCGGTGGATATTGAGTCTCAGTTCCCTGTCGGAGATCTTATCTCCGCCGCTAACTCCACCGCTGTCTCCGGAGTAAACACTGGCCATTGCTGAGATGACCACCGCGTTGGTAACTACCTAAGCGTCCACGATCAGATATGATCAAGATCTGTCGTTTGTTGATGCCAGCACAATCAGCGACCGACTTCTTCACGACAAGGAGGAAGATTACATGGTCAGCCACGCTCATCCTGAGTCACGTGAACCCAGCCATATACACCGAGATGGGACTACTATCTGAGGGTAGGGTAACACACGTTGCGCGGAGTATAGCAACCCAGATGACAGAGTCGCTTAATGACACAAGAGTCTCTGTCGCTCATATGGGCGAGAGCCAACACGAGGTATGACCAAGTCCGTCCTCATGCGGGAGTGGTGAGGTCATCCCGGCGCACAGAGTTTCGGTACAACCACACTCTTATAAAGACAGACTGCGCGAGAAGCGCTGCGAATGTCAACCGAGCACACACACAACCAATTGAATCTGCATAGTAGCAAAGATGGTCCATCTTTCATCAATTGCCAAGGAACCTCAAAGCCACCGTCATCGGCGGGAGAGGCGTGAAGCGGAGGCATCCGAGGCATCAGCCAATGTCTACGGGACACACTATGCAGTGGAGGAGCTGCCGGAGCATGCGATGTCGGAGCAGGAGATGCCGGCCAGCGTCGCATACCGGATGATCAAGGATGAGCTGAGTCTCGATGGCAATCCGCTGCTCAAGTAAATTGCCCTTCTCTGCACTTCGTTTGGAAGCGATGATAACCTTTTCGCAGTCTGGCGAGCTTTGTCACCACCTACATGGTCGGTTGCCCCCTCTCCACCGCCCGCCAAGTGGCCGCTGCGTTGCTAAATCACATACAGGAAGACGAAGTGCAAACCCTAATGTCGGACGCGATGAGCAAGAACTTCATCGACTACGAGCAGTACCCGCAAACGGCGCACATCCAGAACCGCTGTGTGAACATGATCGCGGGCTTGTTCCACGCCCCGGCGACGGGACAGGAGGGGTCGGAGCAGGACGCGATCGGGACCTCGACGGTCGGGTCATCGGAGGCGATCATGCTGGCGATGCTGGCGATGAAGAAGCGCTGGCAGAACCAGCGCAAGGCGGCGGGCAAGGACTGGTCGCGGCCGAACATCATCATGAACAGCGCGGTGCAGGTCTGCTGGGAGAAGGCGGCGCGGTACTTCGAGGTGGAGGAGAAGTACGTCTACTGCACTGAGACCCGGTACGTCATTGACCCGGCCACCGCGGTCGACCTGGTCGACGAGAACACCGTCGGCATCTGCGCCATCCTGGGCACCACCTACACGGGCCAGTACGAGGACATCAAGGCGATCAATGATCTGCTGGTCGCCAAAAATATCGACTGCCCGATCCATGTGGATGCCGCCAGTGGCGGGTTTGTCGTGCCGTTTGTGAAGCCGGAGCTGGAATGGGATTTTCGATTAGAGAAGGTCGTCTCGATCAATGTCTCAGGCCATAAATATGGATTGGTAGGTTTGGCTGCTTACCTCGAACATACCGGATAGAGCTCAAACTTGACCAATCATGATGCTATTCAGCAAGGGACTTGACTTTAGTCAGTGGATTTAGTGCTGACACGGACTCTCTCTCCCACACAGGTCTATCCCGGCGTCGGGTGGGTCTTCTGGCGTGCCCCGGAGTATCTGCCCAAAGAGTTGATCTTCAACATCAACTATCTCGGCGCGGATCAAGCCAGCTTCACCTTGAACTTCTCGAAAGGCGCCTCGCACGTCATTGGTCAATATTATCAGCTGATCCGGCTGGGGAAGCATGGTTATCGATCAATCATGACCAACCTGACTCAAATCGCCGACTACCTAGCCTCGGAACTGGGGAAACTGGGCTTCATCATCATGAGCGAGGGCAACGGTCGCGGTCTGCCGCTGGTCGCGTACCGATTACCTGAAGAGGAGGGCCGTCTCTACGACGAGTTCTCGCTCGCGCATGTGCTGCGGCGGCGGGGATGGGTGATCCCCGCCTACACCATGGCCCCCAACTGCAACGAGCTGAAGATGATGCGGATTGTCCTGCGGGAGGACTTCAGCATCCATCGCTGTAACCTGCTGGTGGAGGACGTCCGCCAGGCGCTGAAGTCGCTCGAGGAGATGGACGAGACGATGATCAAGCGGTACAGCACGTACGTCCAGACGCATGCGACTCGCGGGCCCCAAGGCCACCCGGTCTACAGGGATGAAAAACATTCGCTCCAAGGTAAGACCGGAAAAACGCACGCGGTTTGTTGAGTGGATTTCTTTTTTGTTTGGGCTTTGTTTGTGCGCCAATCAAGTTTTGCGACCGGTGACAAGTCAGAGTGAACCTATACTATACATAGTAGCTCAGTTCCACCCAAACAAAGGGCTTTCTTCGTATTTGTTCTTCGAAGAAAAACAGAATGAATAACGCACACCACCACAATTTGTCAAAGCCAAGTCATCCGTCTCTTGCACGGGAAAATTAGTTGAAAGTTGCATTGAACTGGCGGCGAAGCAGTAAAAAAAATGTATTCCATGCGGAGTATGGATGCAACAGTTGCATGGTAGTTTTTTTCTTTTTGTTGCTGTCCGAACGGCGAGCGGCGAACTCGTGCTTGCCGACGTCAAAGCTGCACCTCGTCCTGCAACTTTCTGCTTTCTTACGTAGACTCCCTAGCAAATGTCGCATGATTTCCATACGAATATCGGTAAGAGCTGCCTGCCAACGGCCACCGGGGTTGCAGGTGTCGGGAACTCGGGAACTCGGCTGGAGCAATTCTCGCGACCAAAGGGCTCCACCGTTCCCTCTTTTCTTTGTTTTTTCCCCCACGGGAGCGAGCCGGTGAAGCGAGCGGTTTTCCGCAGCTCTTGGCCAGCGTGTCTGATATCTGATAACCAACCATGCACATACTACATATACCAATTGCACTGCATACTCATGATAACTACAGGCTTACGACTGTGATCTCCCCACATCGGCCACCTGATAGATGTGAATCACGGTGGCGTAGGGTTTACCAATATCCGCTATGGACTTGATTCATGATGCTGGGAAGTGTCTTGGGGAAGAAGAATGTGAGACCTTTTTCGTATTCCATTATAGCACTGAAACAATACAAGAACACAATTATTCAGTGATTTTCCACCACATTCAGTGGACTTTCACAACAGTACGTGAGGAGACGCGCCCTCCTAAAAAAAAAAAAAAAAAAAAAAAAAAAAAGGGAAACCTGTCATACATTGATCGCTGCGATTAGGGTTTTGTTTCCGCCTCTGGCCTCAATGCCCTCACCCAAGAAAGGATGATGGCGCCGGACACATCATATTCGATGGTCCATCCTCAGCAACAATAATACGCCTCCCCAATGCAGTAGCCTGGAGGTCTATGCTGCAATAATTGGCTCCACTCTCTCGAACCATTTGTCTTTTGCCCTGTCAATCAATCCGGGGTTTAATCATTTGTCCCCCATTCGCGCAGCAACAACTCGGAGGGGTGGGTGTTCGCAGCTGCGTGTCTTCTGTCTGTCTGTCTAGACATCCACCTGATGATGGAGTGGACATCCACTGGTGGTACTCATCGCCCAATGAATCATTCGCAAGCGAGGGGAGCTTTCACTGGTAAAAATCTTCTCTTTTTTTTTTTAGTTTGGTGAAGGTATGCTTGAGGATCATTGCTGACAGACCGCTTCCAATAACTCACGCAATTGGGGGCTACACCGGATCCTCTTCCCTTTTCTCCCGGATTCGCTTTGTCTCTGACAGGTGGTGCTCAGGCCGTGCAACTCGAGTGTGGAAACTGAAAACTCAATTGGGCTGTCTACAGTAGATGCTATATTAGTTTGTGGCCCATTGAGGAAATGCCTTTACGGGCTAGTCCCCCTGAATATCAGGATGGATTGTACAGACTCAAACGCGAGCTGGCCGGGCTCTGGTGGCCCATATCAACTCAGACATCCCCATCCCATCCTGCTTTTCTTCTGCTGGGTTTCTCTCGGATCTTTGGGATACTCTACGGACTGTAACGTTAAGGTCTTGTGTTCGTATCTCGCACTGGTACAGTACTATGGCATTGATCATTGCCTTGGTGGTGGCATTGGCCTGCCATGTGCAGGCCAAGGCTGTCTTTGCTCACTTCATGGTTTGGCTCTCTCTCTCTCTCTATCTCTCTCTGCATTCACCTCAGCTTGAATAAAGACACCTTGCTAATAGGCATATGATGCACAGGTGGCCAACAGTCAGAATTTCACGGTCGATAACTGGAAGGAAGACATCACGCTGGCGCAGGCGGCCAAGATCGACGCCTTCGCGCTGAACATGGGGTACGGCAGCCCGTACGCGGGTCAAATCCTGAACGACGCGTTCACGGCGGCGGCCGACCTGGACTTCAAGCTGTTCTTCTCGCTGGACTACAGCGGGGACGGCCACTGGCCGCAGGACCAGGTCATTACGTGGCTGAGCAACTACACCAAGCTACCGGCGTACTACAAGCACAACGAGGAGACGCCGCTGGTCTCGACTTTCGAGGGCTACGAGGCGCAGGGCGACTGGGTCAACATCAAGAAGAAGGTTGACTGCTTCTTCGTGCCGGACTGGTCCAGCGTCCTGCCGGAGAAGCTGGCGGCGGCGACGGTGGCGGACGGGCTGATGAGCTGGAACGCCTGGCCCGACGGCACGGCGGCGATGAACACCTCGATGGACGAGCGCTATCTGTCCGTGTTGAAGTCCTCCAACGGCACCGACCGCCCCTACATCATGCCCGTCTCCCCCTGGTTCTACACCAACATGGTCCGCTACAACAAGAACTGGGTCTGGCAGGGCGACGACCTGTGGTACACCCGCTGGAAGCAGGTCGCCGAGCTCGAGCCCGAGTACGTCGAGATCCTGACCTGGAACGACTTCGGCGAGTCGCACTACATCGGCCCCATCCACGAGCACGACCTCGGCACCTTTGTGTCCGGCGGCGCCCCCTTCGACTACGCCGTCGGCATGCCGCACGACGGCTGGCGCGCCTTCCTCCCGTATGTCATCGACGAGTACAAGAACGGCGGCGACGGCAGTTCGACCATCGAGTCCGAGGGGCTCGTCGCCTGGTACCGCCTCTCCCCGTCGTGGGCCTGCTCCGCCGGCAAGACGACGGGCAACACGGCGTCGCAGGGCCAGACCGTCCTGCCGCCGGGCGAGGTGCTGACGGACGCGATCTTCTTCTCAGCGCTGCTCGAGTCCGCCGCCGAGGTGTCTGTCAGCATCGACGGCAAGTTGGAATCGGTCGACTGGTCCGATACCCCCGACGGCGACAGGGGAATGTACTTCGGCTCGGTGCCCATGGACAACCGCACCGGCGAGGTTATCGTCACCCTCACACGCGACGGCAAAGAACTCACCCGCGTCGCCGGCCAGCCCATCAGCACCACCTGCGGCAACAACAACATGACCAACTGGAACGCCTGGGTGGGAAGCAACCTGACCAACCTGTCCGCCGGCAATGGCTCGAGCAACGGCACCTCCACGAAATCCGGCGCCGCCGCCGCCTGGTCGTCGACGAGGGCGGAGTTGCGGGGGTTGCTGATCCCCGTGCTGATCGTCTGGTTGGGGTTGGGGTTCGTGCTATAAGGAAAAAATAATGTCATCCCGTTTGTATTATGATCGTCATGCCCGCCGGGGAGGAAAGAATATGTGGGGAGCAGAAGGCTCGGGGAGGGAGAGGGGGAGGAGTTTGATGGTGGTAGATCTTGGATATTGATGATGTCCCCTTCAACTGTATCTATGTATGACGCTTGACTTTTTGTTTCATATCTGGTTTGGGTGTCTCTTATGTAATATCTAATTTTTCAGTTTTTCTATTCTGGTCTTCACAGCATTCCGGTAATGATCGCGGTGTTGTAGCTTCTGTGTTGTCCTGATTTTGATGTTGCTGTGTCCTGCCAGTCAACGTGCGAGTGTCGGTTTCCTATCTCCGTAGACCGGACTGTTGATCGCAGTTTTCGATCGTCCACCCCCTTATCTGCGCCAGTTGACATTGACTTTGCAACGGCGGCTTGGCCCGACGGTGTTCACTGTCGTTTCGTGCGAGATCAAAGGGATCCCTTGCTGGAGATCCGTGGTCGAGGCTGGAATGTCAGGGTCCAATTGCCGCTTGCGGAAATCCATTCGCCGCCTGGCAACGCCCGTCAACCATGGGCTGGGTCGTGGGAATGTCGGCGTCGCCGATGAGGGGGACGTGCACTGTTGCTTCCCTAGTCCAGTAACGTTACTGTAGTTTAGCTTATCGCTTATCTCTTTGATTATCGCTGCGGCTCTCTGGAGAGCAAGCTGTTGCTGGGGTTGGGTTCATTTGTTGCTGTCAAAAGTCAAAGACCTTGGTCCCATGGTAAGGAGCGTACGGAAAAGCCAGACGGTGCTAGTCGCCCCAGTGCTCGCTCGCCTGTCTCCTGCCTAATTCGGCGAGTACATGATTCAAGAGTGTTGTTTGCGATGTTTGCTGGTGATGATACACCCTGTCTATCTGATTTCTGGTGTTGCTGGGGATCTGCACTGATTGCGCCGAGCATGAGCGAGCAGGTCCTGGGTGGGGGGGGGGGGGGGTGCGACGGTACAATATGTGCAATGGGGTAAAAACATGCCCCACGGCGGCCATCAAGTTTCTGCAGCATGGATTGCGTGCAGAGGTGAAGAACAAGCAACCTGAATGGGGAGGTGAATGCAATAGTAGTTGTCTTGTCAGACACCTTGTCGAAACCTCGTCAAGGCTATCCGCATTGGGATAGGGGGTTACATTCCACCAGGTGACAAAGACTTCGACTCTTCCCTTCATCCCTTCCCATCCCCGCGAATAGCCTCGCCCGCCCAGTCTGGCCCCAGCCGGGTCCAGTCCACAATAGCCCTCTCTCGGGGGCGACCAAGTCGTATGATTCGATCGAGCAGAACGAACTTTGCCGTAAACCCCTATCGATAGACTCGATAGGCTGGCGACCACCCCGGAGAACCCGCAAGTCTATGACGCATATGACACCCTTGGCTCGCCACCCGACGGCGCAAGCCGACCAATCCTCGATTGTCTGGGGGATCAGCACTGACCAGGTTCCAGACGGGTTATCCGGGGCTGAGTTTAATCGTTTGGAAGAGTCTTTGCATCGTTCACACGGCCGACGACGGTCCCCGACTCCGACAGGCGTAGGGGACAGACAAAGCCTGGACCACCGGCGTCGGCCGACATCAAGCCCTGCCCACAGTACTGCAACAGCAACAGGGAGTGGTGAAGACGGATGGTCGAGCCATCGCGCTCCACTGGGTCCGCTTGAAGGATCCATAAGCTTCATGCGGACGGACATCCCCCTTCCTTTGTTGCTTGCCCTGCAGGGTCCGGGCAGAGGGTATAAAGTATCCCCTGACCACGCCCTCGGTCCCTGAATCAGGGGAGCACAAATCTTCAGACTTTCATACGATCAGACATGTTAATACGAGAATAAACACATCCCGAGTTTGCTAGAAATCTGGATTTGAATACAGCCTGGTGCTGCCTGTCCTCTGCACTAGCCTTCCTCATTTATACCATTCTATACTTCACAAGCCACGAACTTCACCGTCAACCACAACCTCATACCTCACACTCTACAACCAATCCTCAACTTCATTTCTATATTCATCAACAACCTCAAGATAACCACCATGGAAGCCCCCCATTTCTTTCGCCAAGCCTCCCGCCTCACCTCTCCCTCCACCACCACCGTCAACACCCGCATTCCCCCAATCGCCCGCCGCACCACCACCACCACCACCACATCCTCCTCAGGTGCCTCAACAATAATCCCCACGCACATCGTCCTCCTCTCGCGCAACAAACTCCAGCGCGAGACTGCCACCAAGAGCCCGGACCTCCGCCGCTGCCTTGCGCACCAGCGCCTCCTACACCGGTCCATCGAAGCAGCCCAACAAGCCGTCCGCGCTCAAATGGCCACCTTCTCCCTCGAAGACGAGGACACCATCGACGAGGAAGAAGAATTCGACGACCCTCGCTCCTACACCAGCTCGCCCATCGAGACAGCCCCACCAGTCACCGCGATCCGCGAACAGATCACCGGGGCCGTTCGGGCGATGGTCCGACGGCGCTCTGCCTCTGCCTCCGCCTCCGCTTCTACACCCACATCTTCTTCCGCTGTCCCCGCTACCGCGCAGAAACACAGCGCAGCAGGACTGAAGCGCGTAGCATCACAACAGAATCTCCTGGCAGCCAGCAACGATAGCGGGGCCGTGAATCTGGTCAGCAAAGAGGGCCCTCGACAAGCGTCCGTTGCTGTTGCTGTTGGGGGCCCGGCGGTGCTGCGCAAGACTAAGCGATACACGTCGCGGATTGTGTTTGGGCGGCGGCGGTGGCCGCTCTACGGGCATGCGCATGCGCATGCGCCGCAGCAGCCAGCACTGGTTAGCTGACACGCGTTGTGTCGGTGGTTGTTTTACTTGTCGTACTATACTAGATGGTATTGCGATAGATGGCCATGTCTTTTGGGGTGTTGTATATTTACTTCCTGGGCAGATGCCCTGCGTTTCGATAGTATAATGTTTATTTTTTTTCCTTGAATGATGTGTTTTCGTGGAGTGCGCTGGGGTGGGGGATCGCCACTTGCTTGCCACTGTAGAAGTTGTAGATTTAGATATGCATAATAATTGTGCATAATGCTGCTGACTAGTAGTATGCGACCAATGAAAGTGCACGCTTCAGTGGAACTCATACCACTACGCTGCGCATAAATGCATCGGTAGTGCAATGAGCATCCAGGACTGTTTTGCATAATAATTCCAACACTGTCGCTCCGCTCATCCTCGCCCTACGTACCAATACATCCAAACTCCACCTCCCCACACCCACTGGCCAAATCCAAGCCCTCATTTTGACACATCCAGCTCCTCAATCCCCCTCGCCGCCCGCTCCTTCCAATCCTCGCGCCACCGCGTCAACGCCGGCCGATCATGCACCACATCCCCACAGGCCCATGCAATCCGTTTTTTATCTAAAGCCTCGCTGACCTCATTATCCGGACAGATAATATAAAAACTCCCGGCCGCCATCCTGCCCACCATGAACGCGACCGTCTCCTGGGGCGTCCAGCACCCGGCCGGCTTGGTGGGGAAATACGTCTGCATCATGCCTGTGTACACCCAGCCGGGCACGAGCAGATGCACGCCGACCTGCGGATGGGTCTCGTGGAGGTCGAACGCGAGATGCTCGGCAATGGTCTTGACGGCGCTCTTGGAGGCGTTGTACGCCGGGTTGCCGGGGGGGTTGGTGATGCCTTGCTTTGAGCCGGTGAGGATGATCGCGCGGGGGTTTTTTCCTGTGGTGGTGACGCTGTCGAGGAACGCGGCGAGGCCGTTCGTGTAGCCGAAGGTGTTGGTTGCGAAGGTGGTTTCGAAGTAGCTCGGGTCCTGCCAGGGGGTTTTGCCGGGGGCTGGTCGGGCGAGGCGGCCGGCGTTGAGCATGAGGAGGTCGATGCCGTCTGGGTAGAGGTTGTGGATGGTCGGCTTGAGGCGCTCCCAGGCTTCTTGTTGGGACACGTCGAGCATGAAGGTGTGAATTTTGGTGGTGGATTCGGGCTGGTCCAGCGCGTTCGCGGCCTCGGTCAGTTTGGCGGGGTTGATGTCGAGCAGGATCAGGTTCATCCCCTGCTGGTGGCAGTGTTGCGCGGTCGCGAAGCCGATCCCGGAGGCGGCGCCGGTGATGAGGGCTGTGGCCCCGGGGCGGAAGACGGAGGGTGGGCTTGTCATGATGTTTCTCGGTGTATGGTGTTTTGGGAGATCTGTGAGGGGGGTTTGAGATGGTTATAAGTTAAATGACAAGCTGTAGGCTACTACTCATATGTTGTTTACTTGATTGCGGGGTTGCTGACGGCGATCATCCGGCGATAAGCGCGTTTATCGCCGGCTGACATTCATAGCATAGCATAGCCTAAGATTTCACATAGTAGTTCCTGCAAGTTCTAGTTCATGAACGCAATTGCTTTACATTGTACCTGAAGATGTTCTACGTTCATCTGCAAGGTCTCCCCCACTATTTCGAATCCATATTCAGTCGGCTTGATTAGGATATTTTAGAGAAGATGGATCAGAGTTGAGGGTTTCGTGCCAACTGTCAGCGGCTGCTCGGCCTGTCGATATATACCTTTTTTGGTGGTCTATACACTATCGGCACAGATACTTACTATTCAATAGTCACAAAACACCAATCAATGTAACGTTGAAGATTAGATATTAGTAATAATTATTGCTAACATCGCATACAATAACCACAAGAATGAGTAAAGTGCTCTTCACCCTCATCCTGGGGCTCCGATGACGGTTTCGTGCGATAAGAAACTTGCCGCAGCGGCAGAAATGTGTAGGCGGTGAAAAGATGCTCAAAGCATCTTTGCCGGGTTTTCCATTCGCCAGCAGTCTATGAGTCTAGACCCGGTCCGGAAAAATCTCGGTGAGCCCATGGTCGCTGGGCTGCATTGAATCCCCACCATCAAAGACCGGGTAATTCCGGCCGAAATGACATTGATTGTCTGCGACCAATGACGGTGAGCTCGGTTGCTTCGAAGTGGCTGTCATTCTTGTCTACGGTGTTCTTCAAGATGGCCAAGTTGGGCAGGAGCGTTGCTGTCCTCCACAGTTCCTGCTACGAGCTGAATCAGGAAGGAGCGCGGCACCCGCCCGGAGTATAAACCCCCCCCTCGCCCCCGATTCTCGTCCGACTTTTTTCCTCCCTACGCACGCCTCCGTAGCATTCACTAATCGCCTTGTATTCCAACCACCACTATTTACGGTAAATCTGGCCATGGTGCTCATGACATCAGAAGCAGAGTATCACAGAGTATCACAGAGCATCACAGAAGTAGAAATGTATTGGATATCATCTATATGTACAAGCAAATCCTGATATATGTATATGTAGCATGGTCCCCATCAACCAGTGTCTCTCATAGCGGCTGCACCGGCTGCACCAACCCATCTAACGACTTGGCCAATTCAATCGACCTCGCCAAGATCCCCTTCTCCTCGTCCGTCAAATCCCTAACAACCCCATTGACCATGCAGCTCTGATCCTGCTTTCGCTCCCCCTTGATCCAGTCCGCATCGATCATCCACTTATCCGGCACCCGATACTCATTCTCCATGCCGGGCTGGCCCTTGTTCTTCAACAAACTCCCATTATACCACAGCAAGCGATCCTTGGCATCGACATGGGCGATGACAAAACTGCACACCCCACTCCCCTGAACCTGCACCACGACCCCCGACTCATCCACCTCCTCCTCCCTCTCCCACCCGACAATCCCGCCATAATGCGGCGAGAACGCATACTCCGCGCCCGCCAACTCCAACCCAAACCACCAACTCTCCTTATCGCCATAGGTGATCTTATACGTGGTCTCCTCGCGCACCTCGAACGAGTTCTGCCAGCAGATATGCAGCAGCCCGACAAACACATCCACGCGGCCCTTGTTCAGCACCACCAGCCCGGAATCCCCTTCCTCGGCGTACTCCTCCGTCCACACGCGCGAGGCGTTCATCTCCCCGCTCGGCCGCCGGATCTGGTCGTGCCACCACTGATGCCGCCCCGCGAAGGCGTGCGGCCACAGCAGCCGGTCGTGGAACAGCAGCGCCCCGCGTGTCGTGACGGCCTCGTGCCGCAGCAGCACTTCCGGCCGCTGCAGAAAGACCGCGTCCGCATCCGCCAGGATCACCGTCTCGAACCGCGAGGCCAGCGCCGCGAACGCTTTGATCGCCCACCCGCCTGTCCGGAGCTGGAGGGTCGCGTCGTCGAAGACGGTCAAGATGTCGAGGAATTCGATCGCTGGGGCGGGGTCGGGCCCGGCTAGCGTGCCGAGGAGGTCCCGGTGCGCTGGGGACAGGTCGGTGTCGCCGGCGTAGACGACTTGGATTGGGAGGGTCGAATGCAGCACCGTGCGCAGCGCCCCGATCAGGTGCGCGGCGTACCGCACGGTCTTGTCGCTGGTCGGGATGACGATCCCCGCGCTTTGGGGCTCGAAGCTCGCGCGGAGATGCGCGATGGGTTGGGTGCTGGTGGTGGGGTTGTTGGGGTGCGTGAGGAAGGGGAACTGCGCGCGTGCCACTTGTTCGACGGCGTCGGCGTAGACGGCGCGCGTGGTCGGGTTGTGGCTGGCTTGGGCGAGGGTCAGCCAGTTCCGCACGATGCGCAGGCGGCGGCCTAGTTCGCCGTATTTCTCCTTGTAGGGCTTCTGGATCGGGTGGTCGGTGAAGTACTGCGTCAGGTCGGTGAGGAGGGCGGTTTCGGCCGGCGTGAGGTCGACGACGGTTGAGGTCGAGGGGACGGCGCTGGTTTGGAGGTCGGATGCCCCCGCTGCTGGTTTGATGTCTAGGGAAGCGGTGGATGTCTGGGATCCTGGGGGGAAGAAGAGCAGGACGGAGAGAATGCAGGTCGTTGCCAGAGCGGCGATGACTAGTCGGAAGTTGCGGGGGTTGAGCAGCGTCGTCGTCAGGAGACTCATCTTCTGCGACAGCAGCAGCTTGGGCTCTGACCACGCCAGCATCTTGTTGAAGCTGCAGCTCGAGAACGCATGGGCGGGCAGCGTGTACTTGTGCGCAGGCACGTCTTCTTCTGTCCGGAGAGACCAGATTGTTTCTGCCTGGGAGAAAGAGGGGGCTCAGGGAAGGTGACGTTGCCCTTCAAGCCTTTCAGGGCTGGTGTCGATCCATTTCATTGTTGAACAGGGGGGCCATGGGGCCTGGGGTCTACTTATTCCTTGAATGCGATCACAGCAAAAGCCAATAGGGGGGCCCGCAGACAGCTGATCTCTGGGATTCAATCAGCACTAAATTAGGGCTGAAGTGCTGAGGCTTTTCCCGAGCGGCACTGCTGGAGATTTACGGTGGGTGGGTCGAGCAAAATCTGAGCAAACCAGGTCCAGCCCTAAGGACACGATAGACTAGTAACTTATCGTAGTGCACGGGGGTTTAGGGGTGTCTTAAACCTCGTATTCCCCCCGCTCGCCCTCTGAAACTGGAAATGGGGGGCCACAGAATTCCCATTTGACTGCTAAGCTCGCGCTCTGGATAGGCCAAGCCTCGACTAGAGTCGCGTGCCTCCATGCTATTTTCAGGGGTTTTCGCTGCTGGTTGGCTTATGAACGCGGTCAATTCAGGTTCAGTTGATCGGAATATTAGTTTACCGATTGGTGGATGGGAATGATGGACATTATGGTCAAAGTGCAGCCACGAGAATCTGCACCGCAGCGTTATCACAGCCAATTCAATGAGTTGGCAAACCCGACCACGAAGGTTCCTCGACAGAACAGCCGATTTCTGCGTGATTTGCCATCGCAGGCGGGAATGGCGACGGACAGGCGTGGGGCGAACATCCAAATGGGCCAATCTTCCCGAGCCAATTATACGACCACTTGCAGTTTTGGTTATCGCTTATCGCCCAGGCAGCACTGATCCAATGTGAGCTGGGGCCCGGAATTTCCGAAGGATGCCGTGTCTCACACGTTTGGAGGCCTGTCACTTCTCTCCTGTCACTTCTCTTGTCACTTCTCCTTGCCAGTCATCTGCAGATAAACACCCAGCCAAGCCCAAACCTGTTTCAGTCCAGGTGGCACGAAGGTCGGGATGAGCCTTTGACACGAACAGTGGACCCCAGGCATATACTGTGATGCTCCACCCATTGCTGCGTCCGCAATATGACCATCTCTGTCTCACAATCTTCTAACCACCGCACAATTTCCTTGTGGCAATGCTGACCCTGATGATTGTAGTAAGTCTGCTAGATAGTCGCTCTTCGAGAGTATTTTTGAAGCAGGCGATCACTACCTCGATAAGCTTAATCATGTATCGTGATTCTTGAGCTATCTTGGCTCACGATGCCAAATCAGAACTCTTGGCCCTAGCTCTCCCGTACGGATCTGCAAGCTAGGACCTTGACACGGCAGATCGAGTATCTCAAGCCATGTCCCATGTCATACAGCGCAGCATGTGTCGTCAGCCGCATGACCATCGTCAATTATTGCTCCGTAGGGTGTGGGGGGTCAGCATTCGGATATCCTCACCATGGGCCAACTTGCCGGGTCAACCGGGTTGACGATCGTCGGGTCTGTGTGTTATCTAACATTTAATCAAGCCCCGACAAGATGGCAATCGGCAGAGCGGATACGATGCTTATTTATCCTGAGCGGCTTTGAATAGTGTTTTAATCTCCGCTCTCAACGGGCAGGATCTGGGATAACCCATGTATGACAAAATAAGCAATCCTCACGGTGGGACGAATGCGACCAAGAGACATCATGGACGCGACTCTTTCTATAGTCTGGTTGCGCTTGCTCAACCTGAGCTATAGACTGTGAGCTTTGGACATAAATCACTGACATTTCCCGACTTATCACCTCTGTTCTTCAGCTCTTGTTACACCCGACTATTCCTCTTTCAAGCACACACTGTATCGCACTGGAAACCCATCCATCAAACAAAATGAGACTTTCCGCTCCCCTCCTTCTCCTTCCCACCTTCCTCACCTGCATCCTCGCCAACCCGCTCCAGATTCAAATCCTCGAGGACGACGAGAAGACCTCTACCACTTTCCCCGCCGACGAGAAGCATTACTGCGGCGGGCTGGGGGCGCTCTGTCAGGTCAAGAGCCCTAAACTGATCTGGATCTGCGACTGTCCCCATAAGACCAAGTGCGAGTCCCGGGTCGTTCATGCCGGTGCGAGTTACTGGTATTGCAGTGTTCCGAAGTGAGCTTTGCCGGGTGAGTGAGGTGGGTGGCTGGAGCAGGCGTTTCGGAGCTGATATAATCTAGAGATGGGAATGATTAGCTGGAAGGGTTTAGGAAGGGAGTGTAGGTGTTGCGGGGTAGGGGTCTACGGTGGCGGTGAGGTTATAGTTTTGTCCTCTTCAAGGGAATTGCTTTTGAAGGTGTTTATATGTAATGGTGATGGCTTCATGAAACAAAATTGGAAATTTGTTTCTTTCTCCTTCTTTCCTTTGATGGACTTCAGGTTTGTAAAATCTGTCGGATTCACTACGCATAGCTGGAGACAAATTCTAGTGTGTATAACGGTTCATCTCTGTAGGTGTTATCGAATGGAGTAACTGTTTTGCCTGAATAAGTGCAGGGACTAACACAGGTAGCCATATGGCGAGCTGATAGCCGATAGCACGCACCTGTACAATTTTCCATCCCTGCGTTCGTATCCGTGACTGTAGTTGGTTGTTGGTTTATTGGTACATTACCTAGAACTGGAGTGGGATCAGGTGTCTTTCACGGTGAGACAATCTTACTGGAATCCGACCCAGTATCTTGAGAAAAATCGTGAGGGCGACGACTGTATGATTCTGGTTACCTTCATTAGATACAAATGAGAGTTGGACCACAAGCATGAACAATCCTCCAAGTCTTGCGGACAGAGCTAGTCTTGCGGACAGAGCTACGATGGCAGCTGTCCGGACCAGGAGTTATCGACATGTATAAAACGGCCATGACCACCGAACGCAAAAGTGCAGATTTGAGACTGTTCCTCCCCATTCCAACCAAGCAACACGCCTCACATAATCAACGACTACCCACTATCCTCTGCATTATCAATCTTCGTCCATGCATTACGGAGTCGAAAAGGGTTACTGAACACGCCGTCCGCCCCCACGACATACATGGCCGCCCGCTGCCAGGTCAACGCGAAGTCGTAGCTTTTCTCACGCTCGGACGGGGAGTTGAACGTGACTCGGAGCGGGTGGCGGTAACGATTCTCGCGAACGGCCTCACGCCAGGTGTCGAGGATATCGGGCCAGCTGCCGGCGCGGAAGTGCACGTAGGCCAGGCTGATTCGCTGCAGGGAGGAGTTTTCCAGGTGCACGAGCAACTCCCGCAGGTCTTCCTCCTCCATCACCACACACATCAGGGACAGCTCGCGGAGACACGGCCACTGCACGCGGCGGACCAGCGGGCCGACGTCAAACTCGTGGGCGAAAGATTGGGAATCCGGACCCAGCATCGGCCGCAGAGCGATCTGCACGCGCTCGACATGCCGGCTGGACAGCAGCGCGTGGAGGTACTTGGTCGCCGCCGTCCGGTCGAAGGTCAGAATCTCCCGGCGGCTGCCCGCCCACCACTCGTTCGGATCGCCGGTGCTGACGCTGCGGAGGTCCTGGCAGGCGGCGCTTAGCTGGGAGAAGGAATCCGGGGTGCCCAGGTTGGGGCCCGTCGTCGACGGAAATGCGTCTACGAGTCGCAGCGAGTCGAGGGAGACGTGCTGCAGGGCACAGCCTGTGGCGTGGACGGCGACGGGGAGCTCGAAGAGGACTCTGGCAGGGGGGTGCTCGGTGTGTCTCCAGGGCAGAGGGTCGAGGAGGCGCGTGTGCAGGTGGGCGGGCTCAGGCTGGCCTTCCTTCTCATACTCCACGTAGCGTGCGTAATCCATGATGGTATTCTCGCGATCCGTCACCCCCATCGTGATGACGTTGGGCATTCTCTCCACCGATTCGGCCACCGTTCTCACAAAGTCACCGCTGGCGATCAGCTGGTGTTGTTCCTCGTGCGCGCGGCGATACCCTTCATGGGCCCGGTGGAACGCGGCGCGATGCTCGGGCATTGTCATCCCAGCCACGTGAGAGTATGGTTCGAGCCTCGAGCGATGTCCATAGAACCGGTTGAAGTCGGCGGCAAGCTCGGGGGTCGGTAAGGCAGTCGGATTAACACGCCACGGACCGCGCGCGCCAGGCCGGGACAGCGGGAGAGGGCGACGAACCGGTCGAGGGATGCCTGGGACAGACTCACCGCGGCAAAGGAGAATAGGATGGGCGAGGCACACGCTTCGAACGCCCGACAGACCAGCCGCGCGTCGCAGAGGTTCTGCCGCTCGCGCTGGTACGAGTGCTCGTTGGTGTTGAGCTCCGGCCACGACCACCCGACCAGGCCTGGTTCCACGCCGGGATGACGGAAGTACTCGAAGGCCTTGAGCAGCACCTCGGCGGGCATCTCGAGGATGGTGAGCCGGCGGATCTGGTCCCTCGACAGTTCGTTGGCGGCCGCGCGCAGCACCTTGCGTTTGTCGTCCAGCTTGTACCGCAGTCGCCGGCCTTCGCGGTGGCGCATATTCGCCGCGGGGCCTTTGCCGGCTGCGGCTTCCCACGCCACAATGTATTGATCGGTGCTCTCGATCTTCGACAGGGCTGCGTATACCTCAGTCAGGTTGAAGTTGGCGATCTCTTCGTCGGCAGGTAACCCCGGCTCGCGCGGCGCCTGGGGTCCAACAGGGGGCCCCATGGTGACGTGTGAGCTAGAGGTTCGATACCGTCAGCTAAGGATAAGAAACAATCTAATCTGCAGTGCTGGGAATAGCTCACTGGAAGGAGATAACTCCCTGGAACAAACAGGTCAACGCAATATCGATGGACAGGGTGTGTGGTGATTGGTTGTTGACAGATGGGAGAAGAAGAACGCTCCAGGGGGGCAGATATCAGACTGTGTTATTTGTCTAAGTTGATTTTCACGTATGTCACCAGGCATCTTTCTGTGTGATTCCGGTCGCCTAGCGAACCTTTTTTACATTCACTTTGAAACAGTTGATCCAAGTTGGGCTGATATCAAGGCGGTTTCTACTGGCACTATCAACACTGCATGTAGCATCACCTGCTACGTCTGCAGCAACTGGCTTTTGCATGCATGTCTATCATCTATTGATGCATCTTCCTATGACTTTCTGGCTATTGCCTTTCTTATGGCGCAATATTCTTCCAGGAACTGGACTTATGATCTAGAAAATCAAACAGACGCGTACTCCTGGGCGCACGTGATCCACAGAGTGAGGCGAGCTGGGCAAATATCAAAGACAACTCTTTCCTCATCTAACTTGCACACTCTTACAAGAAGAACTTAAAGCTCTTTGTACTACGACAGGTTTTTCATCTATCGCTGCTACCTCTATCTTCTTGATCGGGCCTCTGGTAACTGCCTCTATACACGAGTTATATCGGGTCTATCGGCACCGTGCAAAATCGGCAGCTGCAGACAGAAAACAGTGAGAGATACAAATTATCTGTGATTATTGATTCTTATTATCTAGAAAGTCGAAGGCTAACTCCTGCGCTGTCAAACAGACTACTTTTGCGTTCTCAGAAGTCCGTCGATCGGCTGCCCTGGAATATCAACACTGTTGCCAAGGAGAAACTTGTTACAGGTACACAGGCCAGAAGCGAGACAGGAGTAATCTAGACAGGTTTCGTGGAACAAACCTTTTGCAATTATGTGTGAATTGTTACGATATCTGATATTTTCATCTGTACCGTTGAAGAGCACCCAAATAATCTATTGCACAAACTAACCTTCACAATTCTAATAAAACCACTATGTTCAGAACATAACAATTGGTAACAAGCAAAAGATACATAAACTCGGACAACCACTCCTTCCGTTGCAAAGCCGCAGCAAATCCATCCTCTACACATCCAGCGCTTCCTTGACCAACCTCCCAACCTCAGCAGCCTATCCAGAAAACAAGTCAGCAATCACTTCCCCACCAGAATCAACCACAACGCGAAAGGGGAAAAAATGGAAAGAAAACTCACCAACGGCTCTCTCATCATCGTGAAATGATTTCCCTCCATACTCACACACCGTACCTTTCCTCTCCCAACAAGTGTCTCCCACCCATTCTCCCCCAAATCAAGCCGATTCGCACACAACCACGCCATACTATTGGGCATTCGCACCCCCTTCTCCCACTGAGGTTCCGGATCCCCCGGATTCTTGACGACCCCATCTCGGGCCCAAATCACCGTCGTCGCCGGCATCTCCCTCACATCCACCGGCATTTTCTGGGCCAACTCCTCCGAATAAGCCGTGAGCCGGGCCACCGTCGCCCGGAAATGCGGCAGCAACCACTCCGGAGTCTTGGAGGCACCATCACCCAACAAGCCGATGCGGTTACAGAACTCGTGAAACACGGGCGGCAGGGCCTCGAGACCGATGGGGAAGGGGCTGTCGATGAGGATGAGCTTCTCGACGACCTCGCCCCGCGCCAGCAGCTGGCGCGTCAGCTCGTACGCCATCACCCCGCCGGCGGACCACCCGCCCAACAGGTAGGGGCCCGAGGGTTGTCGCGATTTAATGGCCTGGAGGTACTGGGTCGTCACGTCGGGGACGCTGACGGTGAAGTTGTGCGGGTCCCGCATGAAGGGGCTGTTCATCGCGTAGACGGCGGTGGTGGCGTCGAGCGTCGGGATGGTTGCGTAGGAGAAGGCGGCGCCGGAGCCGTCGGGGAGGAGGAAGAGTTTGCGGGTTGCGGTTTTGGGATTGCCGGATAGTAGGATTATCGGGGCTGGGGGGAGGGCTTTTGGTGGTGTTGCAGGTGTTGTTGTTGGACTGAGGCTGGTTGGTGCTGGTCCTGGTTTGGGGACGGAGGATGGGGATAGCCCTAAGGCGTTGAGCATCCCCTCCACTGTTGGGTGTTCGATCAGGAAGTCCGGGGAGAATGTCAGCCCTGTTTTCTCGCGCAGCGACCCCAGGATCGCCAGGCTCATCAGCGAGTCCAGCCCCATCTGCGAGAGGTCGACCGTGTCCCCGACCTCGCTGAGCTCGACCCCGAGTTCCTCGGCGATCGTCGCCCGGATAATCATCCCCGTCCGGCTGGGGGTGTCGTCGTCTTCGCTGTCGCTCAGCACAAGCACCCCCGCCTCGTCGTCGGACTCCACCGGCGTGTGCACTTTGGTCAGCTCCCCTTCGGTGGACGACTCCTTGTCAGAGGAAAGGTCAGTGAACGGTGGGGTCGGCGCGGTGCTGGAGTCGGCCAAGTGCGCTTTCAGATCCCCCACAGTGCTGAGCTCCTGGAAGATCGAGTTCCCCAGGTTGATCTCCAGCTCCTCGCGGAACCGTGCCGTGATGGACAGGGACATGAGCGAGTCGACGCCCAGATCCGCGAAGGGGATGTTGTCGCCCAGCTCGGACACGGTGCAGCCCACCTCGGCGGCGATGATGTCTAGCGCGCGGGGGAGAGTCGATGCGGAGGGGGGTGGCAGGGTAGGCAGTTGGGGTGCTGGTTTGGACGGGCTGCTGCGGCGCTGGATCAAAGCGCTGGGCTTCTTGGGCGCAACCGAAGATGCAGCAGCAGCAGCAGTCACCTTAGCAGAACCGACATGAGACGTACCAGCAGATGAACTGCCCTTGATCCCCAGCAGCGTCAGCATCAGCTTACGCGGCACGCACTGAAACCGCAACCCGCCAACCACGCCGATGATCTCCTGCCCCTCCAGGACATACACATCCCCCGAGACCATCTTATTACCCTCGCTCACAGGCGACATCTTGACATACGAGCGGTACTCGCGACCGACCTCGAGCCTCCGCACGAAGCGCATACTCTCCCAGCCATGCGAGATGTAGATCTGCGCCGCCGAGTCAATGGCATCGGTGGCATTCATCACGAAGCCCGAGATATGCGCCACGCTGTCGGTGTGGTAGGGACTGACCAGGAACTCCCCGTCTTGCGGGGTGGTCTGCAGGCGCACGCGCGCCGTCGCCTCGAGATTCGCGCTGTCCAACGCCACCTGCTCCATCCCCTGAAAGGCGGGGCTGTAGTCGACCAGCGCGGTGAATAGCTTGTACGCCATGCCGCGGTAGAGTGAGTGCGTTCCGGGCCGGTCGCGCTGCTGCAGAGAGTCAATCCGCGACTGCACGAGGAACGCGTGGCGCTGGAAATCGGCCGCCCACTGCGCGGCATCCTCGAACCGCACCTCGCACTGCGCGTGCTGCAGCGTGCCCGTGTGGAACGAGACCTGGCACCGGCGGTGCACGGGGTCGAAGACGCCCCGGATCGTCAGCGTCTGCGAGGCGCGCTGCAGGTCAAGGATCAGCGGGGCCGATGACTCCATCTTGCAGATGTTCATGTGCGGCTCCCCCTTCACACTTCCTTCAGGGGCCTGGCCCAGCTGAAACGCGTACTTGGCAAGCGTGAACGCTATATCCGCGTTCAGCGATGACGGACACAGCGGCGCGCCGCCCACGCGATGGCCCGAGATGACTGCCTTGAGCTTGGGCTCGTGGAGATCCGCCTCGGCGATGACCTCCACCCCTCCATCGGGACGGACCGTCTCCGAGACGATGCGCTGGATGGAGGTAGTCGAGAACTTCTGCGGCTCCGGGGCTGCCGGGACTGTCTCCGAAGATACAGACAAGCGTTCGCCCTTGGTCAGGGTCCAGTTGTTCGTGTAGTCCAGCCAGTAGGTCTTCTCGTCGAAGCTGTACGTGGGCAAGCGCAGCACCTGCACGCCCTTGGTCTGCTCCAGCCCCGCGTGCACCTCGTTCCAGTTCACCGGCACCCCGGCTTGGTAGAGCGTCGACAGCGTCGTCGCCGTGGTCTTCCATCCGCTCTCCTTGCGCTGCAGCGCCGCGCACACTACGCTGTCGGGGCCCAGCGCGCTTTGCACCATGTTCGAGCAGATGGGATGCGGCCCCAGTTCCAGCCACACAGTCTGCGGCGAGATCAACCCCTGCGTCCCGGCTGTGTCTAGCACGCCGACGAAGTCGACGGGTTCGCGCGCGTGGCGCGGGAAATATGCAGGACCCACGATGCCCTCGCCATCGATCACACTCGCAGACACGGGGGATAGGATGGGGATGCGGGGCGGATAGAAGACGATGGGCTCGGCCGCTTGGGCGAGCGCGTCGAGAATGGGATCGACCTGCGCCGAGTGGAAAGCGTACGGGACCTTGAGCGCGATGCAGCGCAGGTCGGGACGCGCAGCGGCCAAGGTCTCCTTCGCGCGGGCGATCGCCTCGATGGGCCCGGCCAGCACCGTCTCTGTCTTGGAGTTGAGACATGCCACGCCGATGGCGGCATCGCCGACGAGACGCAGCAGCTCCGCCGCCGGGATGGCGCCCTGCACCGCGAGCATGCCGTGGCTGTGCGCCACACACGCCGACTCGAGCAGCTGCGCGCGCCGGCCCACCAGGAACAGCGCGTCCATCGGCGACAGCACGCCCGCTACGTACAGGGCGGCATACTCGCCGAGCGAGTGGCCGAGCACCGCTGTGGGGACGACCCCCCACGACTTCCAGAGATCCGCCAGCGCCATCTGGAGCGCCGTCGACGCCAGCTGCGTGACCACCGGCGATTGCGCGGCCAGATCCCCCGCCTGGCTACCGTCGATGAAGCCTAGGAACGAGGGGAAACCCTGCGCCGTCGCCAGCTCGTCCAGCTGCTGCAGCTGGCTCCGGAAGGGGATGCATCCCGCAAACAGGGCCTGGCCCATGCCCGCATACTGTGCCCC